CTCATTTTTAACAAAAACATCTACGTTTCCGTTGTATGACTCTATCTGTAAAGTAATTTTGGTAAACAATGTTTTTGAAAAATTAAATATGTGATCCTTTACTTACCGGCACGTTAAATTTAGCAAAAATATTACAAACTTATTATACACTTTGAATTAATTCGCCTGGTTTGAACACCGTATGTCACCGTGACTTTGGCATCATACTTCATCATGTCATGGACATCATACTTTTATAGAATCGAAACGCAAAAGCAATTCAGAATTTTTGATTTCCTGTCGATTGCAATATTCTCTGTATATTTACAAACCTGGGTTAACTGCCGTTATGTTTGCCACTCTCGAATATGAAGCAGCAGAAACCGGGGTGGCGGTAAAGTTGTAAATTCGCGTTTTTGAGTTTACGAATAGATTGAAAGTGAATGAAAGGGTGGTTGAAACAGTATTGCTTGTGATTTCTGTTGTAGATGTTGATGTGACTGAAGAATTGTCATTGGTTGAAACTCTAATGTTGATGTTGCCGTCATAAGACGTTATATTGAATTTTACTGTTAGACTTTGCCCTTGTTCGATATTGTATTGTGCAGATGAAGTTGATATTGTTAAAAGATCTGAAAAATAGCACAATATGCTGTAAGTAATTTTACATTTTATGACAATTGTTTGAGAAAAATAAATAAACTATACATATGTTAATTAAAATTACTCAAACTAGCTGATGTGCTGAATTATAGTTGATGCTTTGAAGGGTGACTTTCTTTTTATATAAATATCAGATATGTTTTTTTTTCTCAATACAATGAACAATCAGCTTTTCATTTTTGGATATTGATCTTCCGATCCCATACAATCCTTTTTCAAGTACTAATGATTTCCTTCCACATATGTCGTAATATTCACTATTACCACAGAGCATTTTTACTCTGGATATCCCTGGCTTACAAATTCTGAATGAATTTCAAAATTATGAAAATTTAATGCGAAAAGCAAATAAGTCACTTATTCAACAAATTGCTTCTGTTCACTCAATCCAAATTCTACAGTTTTGAATAATTTGAAAAACGCAATATTTTTCCAGGGTTGGGAATATTATTGAATTTTTGAGTCTTGGAATTATATTTTATGCTAATTCGCTGTCGTTACAAAATGCGTATTGTATGCGTTTTCTAGCAAATTAAATATTCTGTCAAAAATGCATGCATGGGGAAAAGTTTACTTCTTATGGTGTTACAGTGTTATTTATTGCAGGCAGGTGAACAATTCAAATGGCAACTATAATCGCTTAATTTAACTCAGTATCAGACTTATGAATGCCCTCGTTCCGAATTAATCAAAAGACAAAATGAATTAAAATAGTTTTCCAACTCAACAATATTAACCTAAACAGAAATGTATTCGAAATTACCTTTTTCGCATTTTGTCCCAAAATATCCTGCATCGCAGGTGCATTTGTATCGATCCTCATGTAATTGACAGGTTCCCTTGCCTGAGCAGACATCTCTACCACAATCACCGGATGATACATCTGTTGTAGAATACTAGAATATTTTATTGAATTCTAATATCCGAATAGAACAGATCTTGACACTAGCGATATGTTCTCATCAAAACCTCGGATTAGATTTATGACATGACCACCGCTAAAAATTATGATAATACATTTGCATCGCAAAAAATATCATAATCTGTGTCACTAAAATTTGAAAAACGCAAAATTCAGATCAAGACCATTCGCAGTGTATATCAGAGACAGTCAAAAAGATATACTAATATTTCCGGTTCCTTGAACGGCCGTATATACCAAGGAATTCCTCATGATATATTCTTTTCCTTAAGATGAGGATAAGATGTCATTTTGTCTAAAACAGTGATTCTTAAAGTGGACAATATCTCTAGGGGTAATTTGTGATTGTACTTGACCAAAATGTCTCCAAATATTAGAAAAAACGTTAAGATCCCAAACTATGTCTTATCAAAATCTGCTATGATATAAAATTACTTTCTTTTTTGGTTTTGCGGGAGACTAGGTAATGGGGTGCTGTATGTGTAAAGTGGCGACGGTGCATAAAAGTTTAAGAACCACTGATCTTTCCACATTTAAAATTTTATTGACTGTACCATATCTCCTTTAAAATTGAATTAATCACCTCGCTGGCAAATATATCCAGAAAGTTGATTACAATCGTAATCAACCCATTTATAATTCACACTGGCGTATTTTATCAAACAGTTTTGTATTTTTCCTCCATTTGGTTCATTTCCACCAGACCATTTTTCCCTTAAAATATAACAGGACAATAATTTAAATTAAATCGCAATAGTGATTAACTAACTTTGTTGCGTCTATTTGACTCATTTCAGTGCCTGGCCATTCATTTCTTTGTGACAAAATGCAACAATTAAACTAAATAAATAACACGACCAAATGTGCTTTATGTATTATTGTTGCCTCAAAAAACTACAAAAATAAAAATATTTTTCTAATAAGCGATAATATTTTTCTTTACGTTTTTCAATGTCATCATTGAAAAATTTCAAATCCTTCTCAAGGTGGCAACATTCTTCATCTAGTTTCGAATATGGCATAGCGCATATATATATAGTTTATTTTGGTTATTTTCAGGATATTCATGATATATATGAATCACATCATTCCATAAAAACTTACGAAATAAACTTGTTTGAGCAATAGGGTGCATTCATTACAAATCATTTCAAGTTTTGTTCTACATACTATCCGGAAATATCAAAGTTAGTAAACAGGATAAATTTACCAATTGTCATCGTTGATATCTATAGCTGTCCCATCTCCCCATTTCCAAGATCCTTCTTCCTCTAAATCACTTCCACTCGTCCAGAAATTGTTGCTGTCACTGTTTGAAATAGAGAGATGATTGCATGAGTTATCGTATAAGATCGGAAAAAGATCCCCTCATTTGTTACATTTTCTCTGAGGTGTATTCGATAACGTGCGCAGCAATCGTGCAAATTCATTAACATGAATGATTAACATGAATACTGATGATGTGGCTTGGAATATTCCAAATCATTTGACACGTACACATTCATCAAAACAATGTGGTAACATAGCCTATTAGAAAAAGAACAAGTCTGTTTTCCATCGTATCATGAAAATTGGAATATTTGCAGCCATTTTAAATCAATATTAACAATACTTATATAAAATATTATAGTAATTTAGAATATTAAGAAAACCATAATTTGTCGTCGATGAAAGAATTGAGAGCAATATTCTTTTCAGATACCACGAGCAACAAATGAAGTTGGTTTGAAATGCATATTTATGGTGCGAAGTTGCTCTTCTTGAACTCCGGTGCGAGTCGAGAGTGGGCGACGCAAATTGAAGTTAGGTGTCGCTATACATCTATAGTATTTCTGTTTTAAATTTTTAATGTGTTGATGTGGAAAAAGCTCATTTTCATGAAAATGACCTTCGTAACTAGAGTTATGAGGAAAAATCTGTGTGGCAAAAAGATGCACAATTGCAGTAACATTTCTTTAATTTTTGGTGAATTGTACTGTGTCTATAAAAGTTGAAAACATGAATTAAATAGTAATGAAGTATATTGATTGATAATTAGTGAAGTGCAAATTTATTTGTGTAGTAATCAATCAGCTCCATTTTTGCTGGGAATAAGCTAAGTGAGTTAGAAAAACAATGATAATTTATTTTAACACAAACTAATTCTAGTTTTCAATCTATTTTACCTGTCCTATATTTTACATCAGGTGGGTTTTTCACCCGCCAAGTTTTTTTATTTGTAATAAAATTTTTCATCATCAAAAATTTCATTGTGTTATTTGTGTCCGCCATATTATAATCAATAAGTAAACTTTTCCAACCTCAATTTTTGATTGATGAATATTTCCAAGGCATTTGTTTTTATCTCCACAAGTGTCGATCCGTTCTTAGCACAGGATTGTTGAGACTCAAAGAATGTTTTCACAGGACTTGTTATTATTTGAAGTGTTAGTTCATTGTTGAAATTGATCCAAGTTCTATCTATAAGATGAGAATTTACCACATTAATTAGAACCAGATATTTGATGTAACTAAAAAATAGATGATTTACTTGGTACGACAACGACAGCTTAATTAACAAAATACTTGTTTGTCAATCACCTATTTAACTTAGGACATATTTAGTTCGAAAAAAAGATCGATTGGTACTAAACAGAATCCAACCACGTAAAATTACGGCTTAAATGCTCATCAAAATAGACAGGAACCGTTTCAATTTTTCAGATATAAAGTTTCCATCCCATTTATTATGTTAATGCTCGTATTTCGGAAAGTATTTTGCACACATTAGAGGAGCTAAAACAACAGTTGAAAATGAAAACATACCTGATTGACACACGTATCGATACCCAAGTCCGCAATCGTAATTCATCCATTTTCCATCAGATGATCTGGAAGTGACACAGAAGTTGTTGAATGAATCAGACACTGTTCCAGGACGACCGGGGACCCTATATGAAAGTTTGTATGAAGGGATAAGTTTCCACAGTTTTTGTTCAGCATGTTAGGTTTAATTCATTTATCCGATCCGTTAAAGATGGCACTTTGTACAAGACTTCTGAAAAGCCCGAAGATCGTTGTTTGGGTTTCTACTTGTCGATAAATTAAATTTGCTAAACAGCATCATCGTTGAAAACATGGCCAAATCATTATTTCTCACTTTTCATAAGTTTAATACACCCGAATGTATTTTTTCTTTTTATCGAATCCAAAACATAAATTGATTTTGTTATTCGTTAACCTCGTGCTTAATCAGTAATGCGTGGGTCATGTGGTTGAGCGTATACAGTCAGAATTGTCCCTTTAACCCTCATTAAAAGTAATTTATATTTGATACCGAAATGTCATTGACGAAAGAACGAACAAACCAGTTAGTGTAGTGTAATTCATAGATATTATTCCATTTCCAATCGCTTTCATGATGTAAACCAATCCAAATAGTATACCTAATGAAAATAAAACAAAATATTTGAAGATACAAAGCCTTAAGAAAATGTCTATCCGTTGTAATTTTTAACACAATATTGTCAACCTTTTAGACCAACGTTTGGTTTGGGTCATTCTGCCATCGGGACCCCATGCCACATTTGGTACTATGCGTGATAGGCAGAAAAGCATAGCGTGGTTGTTTTTCTCAATTTATACATTGATGTCAAATAAATATACATGTTACATAAACTCACTCAGTAAGTTGTCTCACTGCATCTTGAGTTTCTTCATCTTTTATCTCAACAAGCCATGCATTTCTTCCTTCACATACAGTCCTGGCATCATCATATCTCTTTCCTTCTTCAAATAGTTCCAATCTATAGTTTCGAAAATCTGAGGTACCTGGACAGTAGATGCAATAATGATTTCTCAATCGCAGTATTAAAACAGTCGCAAATAACAGTTTGTGCTAATACAAACAGCTTGATGTTTGCTTTGCTACGACAAACTCATGTTTCACAACGTTTGATTTTTTAGCTGAAGAAATTAGCTTTCTAGATCTCATGCTAGCATGTTTGGATACAAAAAAATAAGGTGTACTCACTTTCTGGGGTCTGTGATTGAGTCTGACTGAACAATGAAATCCAAATCAATAAAAACCACATATTAGCTTTAACATTCACACTGTTTGTTCTACGTAAAAAGGTAAAAGTTTTTACAGTTATTTAAGATATTTTTTATTTTATTGCATAACTAGTTTCACGCTGCCCTGATGCCAAATGAACTTCAGGTGAACAGATTAGATCGCTAGATTTATGTTTTTTAATGATATTCTGAGTACTATTCTGGTAGTCATCTCCATGCAATGTAAAATTGGTCATAACGATTGGGCTTCTACGAGACTAACTATATCTCCGTCGTCTAATTTTTGCGACGAAGGATCCGTATGCATATAATGCAAGGATGCTGCAGCAAGAGTAAAGATAACTATCCTGCGTTATTCAATATTCTTTCTGCACACTAACACAAATATATAGGGTGGGATCTGCGTCATGGTAAACCAAACAATTGATGAATGTATATTACTGCTTGCTGAGTTCACAAACACTTTCCACACTTTTATTTGTCTCATGTTATAAAGGCATGGGCGTCTATAGTTCATCATAAATATTAAAATGCCATGAATGGACATGATGCTATTGAGGTTTTCCGGAAGGTTATCATTGCGTAGGCCTAAGAAATGAATCTTGCGCATTTCCGAAATTGAAAGTATAGAGTTGAAGCAATGATCATCAAGAACGTCACTGAAATAATTCGCTGAGACAAAAAATCTTAATATTGGGAACGAATCAATTGATTCGGGCATGTCTGATTCTATCATAAGCATTCAAATCTCTGAATCATTCAATGTAGGTTTTCAAGACCACGGTAAAGTAATCCTCGGTTAACGAACGTACCATATCGTTTATCTGTAGACCACCATCGGAATTCGGGATAATAAAAACTAATGGCAAGACTTATACACGACTCCGTAAGTTATCTACAACTTTCGATCGCCGAGATAATTGTAACATGAATTAGTAAGCGTATAAAGGAGATTCATATTATTGTTAATAAAAAGAATGCTTCACTATTTCAGACAATCACATTCACATTGAATTTGCAACTATTTACATAATACCAAACAAACAATCATGCTTTTAGTGCCCTGTTTCACTAATAATATTACAAAATTCATGAACCAATGTTCAGTTTCATAAAAACTATCAATAATTTTAATTAATAGAGGACATGGTAAACAATTGTGTACAAAACCATTGAGAGCATATTGCTATATATATATTTCATCTTCATTTCTTTTAAAATTTGTTTGCAACGGGTTAAAAATACCACGAAATGGTAGTTTATCATAACTCCACCTCATTACTGATAACTGTTGATTAACATTATTATATATTTAACGACGTTTTGCTAGTTATTCCTTTCATGAAATACGCCGAATACATTGGCCCAAGTATGGTTAGTCATAATATAGTTTGCCCAACATTATATGTGAGCTTCTGCTAAAATGGACTCTAAACCATTCATCATCTAACTCATCTTTTTGGCTGAAGGGCCACATTTGGTTTACGAGTGATTGGTCGGGCCACTTGACATGATAGTTATGTTTTAGTTTGCACTACGCCGACTACAGATTTATAATAAAAAAAAACACACCAAAATTATAAGAACAATGAAAATACAAAAATACAGTGAAATAAAAAGTTTTTACCACACATAGATATTTCAATATCAAATATGGCACTGCTTTTATTTAATAAGTTTGTCAATATTCGTTGCGACGGGCGATGCAGCAATGCAGAGAGAATTTTTCATACGACTGTCAGAATTTAGTAATCTCTCGGATGATATGACATGGTTCATTCATGAAAAAACTTGCTCGTACAAGTAAGTGCTGTCAAATTCAAACATCTCTCTCCAGCAATAACACCCACAAAGGGACATAAAAAGGGACGAATATTACCGTGCGGGCCACTCGATAACCTTCGGCGGGCCACATGCGGCCCGCGGGCCACGGGTTAGACAACTTTGATCTAACTATTCTTAACAATCAATAAAGTATAGCTTATAGCTAGTGGGAACCATGTCACAAAAACAAAGATTTACAATGATAAAAATAGAACAGATATTTATGGGTGGACATCGGTAATATTCATTATTGAACCGTCTAAGTGCATACCCATAATACAAATTACTGCAAAATTATATTTTACGATTTAATTGTAGCGCATATTTATTAATTACATATTATTATTATTTATTTATTAAGAACAAAGCGTAACAATTTATTTGGTAAGGATATATATCTTTCTGTCCAGATACATATTGGGCATATGAGTCTGTTTTTAGTAAATTTTTACTGTTTCAAGCTTTACACAAGAACTCCTAATATTTTAATGATTGACAAACAATGCTTTTTTCTCACCCTAAAATGTAATTTTCTTGATTAAAGTTATTTTCTACAGAAATCCGATCCTCAACCGAAGTTTTTTGATCTCCAGCTTTCTTAGACGTGGTTACTTTTCTTGCTTTCTGACGACTATCGACAATTACGAACATTTTTTCTTCGGAGTAATAAGTCATTAAGATGACAAGATAAATTTTTTTCATAACTGCAACTTTCGTAATACATAGATCTTGAAATGTTAACAAATATAATTTACAACGTTCAACAACTATACTGACCTTTTAATTTCCATACTTCATACAATAACCTTTTGAAAAGGATGCCAACGCAATAAGCAGTACCAATGTGGGTGTTCTAGGAGAAAATATTAGTTGTATATAGGTACATACCAGCCCAACATAGTAGACTGCACATTCAATAACTATGCAATGTAATTAAAACTATAATATTGTGATAAATGAAATATAAGGTTATCAAAATGTAGTCAAAACACGATAAAAAAAGAGAATTCATATTGGTCCTGATAGAAAGACACATTTATTGTTATATCGAGATAAATGGCAGACTAATCCAGATACATTTTTCCTATTACTTAAGATAAAAGCACAACACAATTTCCAATGAATTCCAATGGTATTTGATTAAAAAACTTGATAAATTATTCACTATATTTATCAATTAACAATAGATCAATGGTATTCTCTATATTTTACCATCTGCACCTTCCGTATTCTGCAATTCCTCAAATGATTGACAGGTCGGAGACGTAAGTTCCAATCCCTCAATAGGATTAATACTTACCGAATAATTTCCGGTCCTTCCTGCCTCGCCACTTAAACAAAGTAAATATTCCTTATTGTGTATATTGAAAGTTGATTAAACCCTTTTCGTAGAATTAGGACAATATTTAATAAAAGTGTGTGATAATTTTTACTTGGTTCTATATCGTGAACGTTATATTTAATGACATTATTAAAGTGAATTTTTTTTTTCGAGACCTATATGAGATCGATTTTGAGAGAAACGTGAAACGACGAAATTAAGACCGTTTGTTTGCACATGATAAAAATCGATTCTCGCATCGTGTCACGCTTGGCGTTTACTATGGAGACTTGGAGATTTATGATTTTTCTGGCAACACAACTCAACAGTAAAAACAACGGATTTATATGATCTTTATATCCTGAAATAGAAATTTTGTTTTGTCTTCAGAATAATACTTCTTGTAGATCGGTATCTCACAGGCTTGCAATTGCGCAATGATGCCCTTTTAGGTTAATAGTATCTGGCAACCCTACTATCCAGATTGATTTTGTTAAACTAATTGGTGATCTCGTCTCTAGTGTTTCGTTGTATATAGCGATTGGTCACTCATTCTGGTTGTTCGTGCGTCAGTGTTGTGGTTCAAGGATTAAATTTTAATTCAATAATTGTGTCTATCTATACTCATGAGAAGTTTTGCAAGCAATATGCATGCAATATTTACTTAGGAATGAATACACTGTGTTATTCTGTTATTATGGTAAATTGTGATCCTATACAGGTACTGACTGGCAGAATACAGGAACACTGCATGAGTGTTAAATTGTTTGAATTTAACAGTTACAGAACAATATAACAGTTCAGATGGTTTACTTAGACAATCTTATCGCGGGTTTATACGTTGACTTTGTGACCGGTGCGTGGTCATTTGCAATGTTTCCGCGCTTATGTCGAGTTTTTTTTTTTTTTATCAAAACATAGTTTCGTATTGATTTGTGTGTGATATCGTGGATTTTGTGAAGTGTAGTATCACAAGTACTATAGTGTGATTGACCAAATAATTTTGATTCAAAAGGTCCAAAAGCGGCCTAAGAGCTCATTTGTGGCAGACATGTTAGTCAACTGAAGTTTATTTTCCAACAAATAAAAAGAATCAATTTTTTACAAATTACAAAAAAGGAAATAATTACTCATTTTCACTGGGATAAATGAGCCGTTGAAAACTAAATCTAGGTTAGCTTATGGTACCTTAGGGTTTCAGCCATTTTCCAACTAACAAATCAACCCACCGATGCATATTTTGCGGCCTCCAAAGATCTTTGATGAACCCAAACATATATCATAATATTTGCGTCGTAACGAATATAAACGATTCGGTATAATTCTTCTCATTATTTACAGCGCACGATGAGACTATGAATTGTGTCATCACAGCAAATATTGTATTGCATATTGTTACGTAAATATTGAGTTACTTAGCTCGCTCATCGCACCCTCCATCAACCTTCGGAAATGCGCTTCACAACAGTATTGCATTGCGTCCAGCGTGAAGGGAATAAGTCATGACGACAAGGAAGAGGAAAGTAAAAGACGAAAACAGGGGTTTCAATTGTGCGTGGAACAATGAATTTGCTTTTTCAGAGATAAATGGAAAACCCATGTGCATTCAAGCATTCTGGATATCATACGTATCGAAAGATTCATACCCTGCATTGCTTTTGTGTGTTCATACTTATGTTAAAACTCTTTTTCTAAAATGGCAAAAACCAAATGAACAGAGCGCTCCCGTACTACTGACAACTATTTGGCAAATTACTTACGAGCTGCTACAACTGATCAACAACCATATTTTAAAGTACTTGTGAACAGAATGCAGACCCAGAACTGTCATTGGAAATAAAACAATTGTAAAACGTTTTTGTGATTGAAAAACATTGCTGCTGTTAGGTAAATATATATATATCTAGAGATAGACTATTATTGGAAATTATATTGAAGAGCCATCAGACCACCGGATGGCGTGTTCTCCACTTCAACTTGATTTATTTAAGCAAACATGATTCCGTTATGAAATTCCGTTTTGAAAATAGTGGTTATAATGGCCAGAAATGGCATCTGCGATGCCAATAACGAACTCGCTAACGCCAGGGCTGAAATATAGGGTAACTATTAAATAACAGGAAATACCCGGATTAATTTTAATGGAAGTAGATATCTGCCTAGTATTTCGACAATGTCTAACTAGTATTTTGAATTTGATTGATAGATATGAAATCAAATTATGATCAAGCAATTGATGTACAAGAAGGTAAAAAATATTGACATTTAATACCACATCTGTGACAATTTGCCATTTTAATTCCACTGATAGACAAGCATCATGGGGTTATGAATTATAATATAGCAATCGTTGTAGTTTAGTACCACGCTTAAAAATGTATTATTTCACTCACAGCGATGGATAGGTAGTTGGATTGAAGTATGGTAGTTGGTAGCACACTCTCTGTTTCCACCCAGAGTAAAGCGCAGACAAGATGTAATGTACCTATTGATTTAAATATCGCCATGGGCGTATAGGGTGAAAATCTTCGTGCTCTTACTCTCGTATTATTATTATACATACGTCATCGGAGTAAACCCCAATCGCAAGGTCAATAAGCACACAATATAATGTAATGCCAAATAATCATATATTGTAAAATTGAGCGATTGGATTTTATCATAACAGATACATGGAAATATACACTTAAACCTTAATACCAGCTATACGGTTAGAATCCATATCCGTAAGAATGCACAAAACATGAAAAAACATTATATTGTTAACTCTCGAATGCAGGCCGCAAACATGTGACAAATCGGTCGATATAAAGAAAGCTCGGAATAAAAAGTTAAACCTTTGCTAGGAAAAATCACAATATAATAATATAAAATCACAACAATAATGTTATATTATTTTTAAGCGATGTGTGAAGTATCGTACCAAACGTTTCATATTTATTGTTCTGAATTTTTTTTAGAAATAGGCCCTACACAAGCAAAAACAAGCTAATGAAGAACAAGCTAATGCAAAGTGTAAATGCGCAAGCTATGCCAAACCGGTTTTTTCAAACTCATTAGACTCTCTCTACGATTAAATAATTACATATGTATAGCAGCAAATGCTGTTTGAAACATATAGTAAAATTCACACTAAGTAGCAATGATCAATATGTCGGTCTTCTGAGTTCTGTTTCAATAAACTCAGTTATCAAAAGAAAACATAGCATGTCAAACAACAAATTGAAACAGGCTACACAATATCCATCAATATTGTATTTTTGAAATATATTTCATACACACACAATTAAGTTCCTGATAACAAGTTGAACAATAATTATCGGAAAACCAAGCCATCCTTGTTCTTTGTTTATTCGGAAAATAATAGCTTTGGACCATTCCAACATAAAAAAGCATGTTGAATAAATTTTGCCATTTTTTTGGAATATCATATTAGTATATATAAACAATAGTTTTGATAATATTATTTTTCGACATATAATACAAGGATTCAGCTGAAGATAAAAATGAATCACACCAGGTCCCATCAAATTTTGTTACCGGATGTTGTCTTTGAAACCAATAAAGATAACTGCCTGGTAAAATATTATTTATTATACATTGTTGTCTATACATAGCAAAGAAACTGGTATTTCCTTTTCAATTTGATTGCGGTTGTTTATACTTTGCAACATCAATACTTGAAGTTTAGCTGCATTATAATCTTGTGAATATCCTAGAAATTTATTGGTAATACCATAATATTAAAATCAAACAATTTAAACGCAAAGATGAAACATGACGCATGAAAATAAATCCAAAATGGAATCGCTGACATACGAATATTGACAAGTAACATAGTCCCAATACACAGTCCAAAATATAGTAGACAGTTAGTTGGTCGTATCGCAAATTGGCTAACCTAACATCTGTGCACAGTTTACGAAGTTGATAATATTCTTTTTCGACTTCTCAAATGCATCCAAATGTAACTCGAAAGTTTACATATTCAAAAATACACTCCAATGAGTTGGTGAGAATGGGCTAAATCAAGATACTCAGCCTGAAACGACAAAGTACTTTGGCATAACCAACTAACAAGTGAGTTATAGTTATTCTGAGAAGCAAAGTCCAAAACAATTAATAATGAATAGCCTTTTTATTACACCATATGATATACGTTCTCCGCTTCAAGCCGGAGTTCAGAAAGTTAAATTTTCAACGTTTCGGCTTTACTTCCTCGTACTTAGTGGCATCCGAATCTGTCTTGATATCACAATTCTCATAGGGATTAATATTTTCATATGTTTTCTTGCTGTTTTCATCTTTTTCGATTGTCGACATTGGTGCTTCGTAATGAGTGGCATCGTTATCGTAGGTGTACGGGGACTCAGGTTGAATTTGTTCAGAACGTGATGATGATGCCACGTTATTCGATATAACTGTGGTTTCATACGGGCTAATGGTGGGAGCTTCTTTAGATCGTGGTATTGTGACAGATTTTCTATCTTCGTTTTTGCTCATCTTTCTAATTGAATTAAAAATGCTTTATAAATTTTACAAAAAATTGACTTATATCTGATCTTGGCATAGTTTAAAAACAAAACACTTTAACATGTCAGTTCAGTTGAAAAATCAGTTTGGACATAAATATCAAAAAATTTAAATGATATATAAATATATATATATGAATTCATACTTTTTAATGATCCAAAGAACAATCAACGCTACAGCAATTGCGATTCCGACACAAATGACAACAATGGCAATCGTTGGAATGGTTACTGAAATATTATACAACAAAGATTATGAAATGACAGAACATTCAGAATTCCAATTATTAATTCCGTGAATTACTGGCAATACTACGTATAGAAATTATTTTGCCTTGTTCTACCGTTGCCATCTCTTTTGTGAAGTACGATAGATTGCTTAATTTCAACAAGACCGCGTTGTTTCCTCTTGGAGAAGTAGATATTGTGAAGTAACTGAAATAGAATACACTATCTTTTGAGTTGTGACATGCTTACATGCGGATTCACTAGTGCACGTAAAACAAAAGATAGGCTCGTCATATGACCCAGCGTTACATATTTTGGCCTTTCAAAATAGTACTTACGGCCAGTTTGCAATTATATGAATTTCCAATTAATCACCTGTATTCTGCACCATCTGCTATCTTCAAATTATATCCTTTCATTTCAACGATGGTGATTGTTTCTCTCATTGTTGGAACCGCATTTATGTTAGCATTAACAATACACGAAGATACAGTGTCATCTCCTAGATTTTTCAAAATCGTGCGATTTTGCGCATCGGAAATATCTAATCTAAAAAGAAATAAAAATTACATATATATCACCTTCATATTATTTTCAATATATATTGTTGTTAAATATCTTTCTATTTTTTAAACATCAACTTTTTAATTTCATTTTATTTCCTCCTTTTTGTCCAAAACCTTTTGCGTATTTGCAGTAAGTAAAGGATCATTGTAAAACACCCCTTTCATCACTCAAGTTCAGTTATGTTAGACAACCGTGTGTTACCACACAATGTTTTTTCTGGTTGTTCTTGTTACAATAATTTACTGACAAATTCATGTTTTCAATACCTTGACATTGCAAATGCTATATAGGCTTCATTTTCTTTTACACTCGTTTTGGATAGATTGGCAAGATCATCAAGTGTTTTAATCCATTGATTTGAAGTGTTGTTAGGTTTGTAGACAAGAATGAGAAATAAACAACTGTTAAACAGTGAAATAAACAATGTTTTGAAAGAGAAAAAATTTGAACAAATTTTGCAATTCAATGGTCTGTAACATACTAGATTAAGCTACATGTTCAAATGTGAATGCCTGACCAATTTATAAAAGGTTGTAGATATCACATCAGCATCCATTGAAACTGATGTATAACGAATACATGTTGTATGTAATTTTGTAATTATGCTAAGTTGGAAAATTGGATTAGTTCAAACACGCACTCTTATTACATTTGTGTAGAGAATTCTATAGATAAAGACATGAAACCAGAACCTAATATTCGTATTTCGCATATTAAGTCGCATATCAGACATGTATCGGCATCGGCAGTATTGGCCATTTTTTCGATATCGATAATAGTATCGAATAGCCGCTAGAATGAACAAATTTTTCCAATAAATTCCGCTCTTTAATCTTATCTAGAATTCTACGAAGTTTAAGTTAGTTTACGCAGAACATGTATGCAGCATTTACTGCCTCATTAAACATTTTTGACACATCCTTTTTTCATACATTGGAATCACGAATACGGATTCGAAGTTGCGCGTTTCATTCACTTAAGAACAGTTTACATACTTTGATGTTAATTACTGGAAGAATTAATAAAATTATTGGATTACAGATTATAGCGGCAATTCTAATTATCGGCGTATAGACATCGGCAGCTTTGGTATCGTATCGGTATCGTATCACTGGTTATCGGTATCACTAACCTGATTGGTCCATTACGTTCTTCTGGGAATGGTATTAGGATGCCGACATCTCCGGTCTTATTTGATTTCACGATCGTGGGTGCAAGTACAACATCGGGAGCTGAAAATAACAATTGCAGTCTATAATATATAATTCTACTAAATATCGTGGAAAATCTAATTTTAATGAAAACAATTATCGTTAAAATACAGTAAAGTAGAAATGCCATAGAGTAACTTGACATTAATTTCTTGTATAAATTTTTCAAATCCTAATTTTTTTTTATTTTAAATTATCGAACTGGTTATTTTTGTAAACTAACGAAAACGATTCACCTAAAATTTGAATTATTCTAAGTCACAATTTGCTGTTACATTTAAAATACCACACACAATAATTTTAGTCTACATTCCCCATCTTTCTGTTACGCATTTCTTACAATATTCAGCATGTTTTTTTTTCATTATTTTAAAACTATTTTAAGCATACCTTCAACAACAACAGTTATCGCAGTTGATATGTAATATTCATCAAGATTGAACTCTGGATCCACGCGGAATGTATATATCGTTGTGTTATGATGTAAAAAAGACCCAAGCTGTATTTCAACATTTGATATGATATTTCGTTTTGTAAAAATCACATTGTTAAAATTTGAATTTCTGAAGGCCTGTAATCTTACTGGGCCATGATTACTTTGAATGTTCAGCGTTACTGTGATGGATTCCCCCATATACGTCGTGTAATTTACTATTGTAGAAGAGATCGAAATAGGGGCTGAAAATAAAATACATATATGTTATTTATGGCCAAAGAGCTAAAATAGAATCTATGATTTTTTATATGTTTTTTTTTTCGCTGGAAAATCAAATGTTGTGTATGCTGAAAATGATGATGTCACGGTAAATAATTGAAAACACATGTAAATTATATATATAGCAGACAATACAATAAGTTTCATTTAAGCAATCTGAAACATGTTTTCAAACTTAAAATGTTCTTTTATTTGATAAAAAAAATTATTACAATACAGTAGGATATATTTGGAAAAATAACTGCGCGTTTGATAGGTTATTTTCGCCAAGGAAATGTTGAGTCCTTCCTTTTATCAATTTCTAGATATGTCTCACTGAGAAAATTTGAGCGAAGTGCACGAAATCTATGTCATAAAATAGTCATTTACGCTAATTTCACCAAACTTACTTGTCTCACAATTGTTTCCCGTAAAACCATTCAAACATTTACACGTTATTTGGCAACCGATACTTGAGCATTTCCCCCGAAAAAGACAAGGATTTGAAGAGCATAAGTCAACAGCTGAAATGATGAAACATACGGTATTCAGTTTATTACATTATGAAAGCGAAAAATTATCGGTTTGTATTTTCCGCATGACACAATTAACGGCGGTTCAGAAGTATGTGCATCAAAATGGCGGACACCGGAACGTCGTAGCTGTACCAGGTTGGGGTTGAGCCATAATTTTATTTCAATTTTCATTATTTTAGTTCTATTACGAGTTCGGTGACTAGCTAATTGAGTCCCGTAGTATTTGTACCTAAAATTGTGGCCTAACCCTAACCTGGTACACATACAACGCTTCGGTGTTCGCCATCCTGGTCCACATACTTCTTGAGTACCCAATTAACTTTATGTTCACAATGCTTCGTTAAACTTAGTTATCTTCAATATTTCAGATTAATTCAGCGATAACATTTTTCTGCTCGGGTATAATAACAACGTAATAATTCTTTATATTATAGTTTTATTTATTTTTCCAGGCACAGTAAGGTGGAAGTTTATCACAAATACTATAGCGAATGTAAACTATATTAGAACTATAGTTAACTTTGGGTGTGGGTCGGATAAATATTTGAATACTATAGTAAACTTACTTGGAACCTCGCAAACATATCCTCGGGTTGTTGCGCCGTCATTGTTGACCCATTTCATATTACTTCTTTTTGTCGCATAAGAACTCATAAACAAATATCCATCCCCATTGCTTACGGCAGTCCACGCCCACTTCCCATTGGTTATTGGCGTATCGTCAACCCACAACCAATTAGTATTTGATTTGTGAGCTCCAATCCAGAATGAAATTGTGTCATCTCTATCACCATATTGAGCTATTATTTGACTTTCAACAAAATCTTGTATTGCATCTGTTTTCATCATCGCTACTGTTCCTCCAAGACTATTGCAAGTTGTATTCGCTTCACTGAATGTTTTCTGATAGTAATAGTTGACATGATATTTGCAGTTTCCATTTAACGTATACTTTAGTTCTGTAAAAGATAATTAAATTGAAATTTAGTTTATAATTTCGTGATATTTCTAATCATAAGATTTCACAGTAATTTGATGTGAACTGGCGTTTTATACATTATCATTTTAATTAATTACTATCGAGTAAAACAAAACTATGAAAAATTATCAAGTACTGATACACTAATGTAAAGAGATTTCTTTAAAGATTTCTGGCGTAGAATTGTTAAATTGTATGCACTAAAACTCTGTACATTTCCTGTAAGTGAGAGAAACATACTTGGATGTTCATATCATTTTCTTTTCCGAACGGTTATCTGAACGCTTTTGTAAACTTTGGGTACCTATACATAAATGACTTTATTATTTACCTTCACAAGTAGTTCCATTGTATTCTGGCTGGCAAGTGCAATTGTAATATGGCCCTGCAGTCGAATATTGACAAGTGGCCCTATTTTTACAAGGTGATAATTCGCAGGCATCTGAAAATAAATAAATCAAATTTAGTCTCTGGATCGTTTTGACAGAACCATATTGGTCATTGGTATTCAAACAGGCAAAACAAAAAATAACTGTTCGTATTTAGCATGTATTATGTTTATAGCAGTATTTGTATCGTTGAATATGCTGATACAGAATATCGTGTATCAATTTTGAAACAACTTTATCAAAATTTACCTTGACATATCATGAACATAATATATGAGTTTTAAAGCAAATATAGTTTATTTGTATGCATACCAATAACTACCAACGTCAAAGTAACCATTCTTGAGTAAGACGAATTGTTTCCCTGAGGACCAGCTTCAAACTTGTACGAAATAGTTGTCGACGAAACATCTATGGGACCAATGTTGATTGTCAACGTAGTTGAAGGATTGCTGCTACTGATATTGCTGGTCGTAACGGATTTAATTTTCACGTTATCTTGATTTATTATATCAACAATAACGTTTCCATCATATGATGTAATTTTGAGTTGAACATCGATGCTTTCTCCTCTTTTCAAACTTCTTTTTCCTTTTGCTATGGAGATTGTTATGAGATCTATAAAATATATTAAACAGTTTATTATTGCTTTGCTTTCTTAATATTTTCATTTCATGTGTATTTATGTACATTATCTATAATTCAATATTGTTTATGCATCATACGAGTGTATGATTTTTGTGGAATTGATTAAAATTGTTGTACAAATAACAGGAGGTGAAAATATTCAATATTATGAGATTTATTTTGTTATTTAAACACAAGTTTGGTTGCGTCGATTTTCGAGTTTCAAATACTCTAGGAATTTTCTTCACATAGAGACCCAAAAAATATTAATAATATTCATAATAAAATTTCTATCATCTATTCCCCGAAAACCATATGAGGTACGGTAACTCACCAGTACCGTACCTGTAGCTGTAGGCCTGATATCGATCGCTGAAGCGCTTGAAATAAGTTAAGAACAGTGTCCCCATGAGTACAAAAAATACAGATAATTTTGAATAAAATATATGATCTCATAGGAAATATAGGAATAAACGGAAGTAATAGCTGTCTAGAGACAAAATCAATATTTAACCACTAATAATTTCAAAGCAATTGGTGCAGTGGTTGAAGAGAAAAGCAATTATTTCATATCGATGAAAAGTAACACAAAGAACAAGAACAACAACATAATAACAAAACGATCCACAGGAACAAGAACAACAACATAATAACAAAATTGGTTATTGTTATTCAAACAGGCAAAACAAAAAATAACTGTTCGTATTTAACATGTATTATGTTTATAGCAGTATTTGTATCGTTGAATATGCTGATACAGAATACTCGTGTATCAATTTTGATACAACTTTATCAAAATTTACCTTGACATATCATGAACACAATATATGAGTTTTAAAGCAAATATAGTTTATTTGTATGCATACCAATAACTACCAACGTCAAAGTAACCATTCTTGAGTAAGACGGATTGTTTCCCTGAGGACCAGCTTCAAACTTGTACGAAATAGTTGTCGACGAAACATCTATGGGACCAATGTTGATTGTCAACGTAGTTGAAGGATTGCTGCTACTGATATTGCTGGTCGTAACGGATTTAATTTTCACGTTATTCTGATTTCTAACGTCAACATTAACGTTTCCATCATATGATGTAATTTTGAGTTGAACATCGATGCTTTCTCCTCTTTTCAAACTTCTTTTTCCTTTTGCTATGGAGATTGTTATGAGATCTATAAAATAAATTAAACAGTTTATTATTGCTTTTCTTTCTTGATATTTTCATTTCATGTTAATTTTTGTACATTATCTATAATATCTATAATTCAATATTGTTTATGCATCATACGAGTGTATGATTTTTGTGGAATTGATTAAAATTGTTGTACAAATAACAGGAGGTGAAAATATTCAATATTATGAGATTTATTTTGTTATTGAAATACAAGTTTGGTTGCGTCGATTTTCGAGTTTCAAATACTCTATAGGAAGGAATTTTCTTCACATAGAGACCCAAAAAATATTAATAATATTCATAATAAAATTTCTATCATCTATTCCCCGAAAACCATATGAGGTACGGTAACTCACCAGTACCGTACCTGTAGCTGTAGGCCTGATATCGATCGCGGAAGCGCTTGAAATAAGTTAAGAACAGTGTCCCCATGAGTACAAAAAAATACAGATAATTTTGAATAAAATATATGATCTCATAAGAAATATAGGAATAAACGGAAGTAATAGCTGTCTAGAGACAAAATCAATATTTAATCACTAATAATTTCAAAGCAATTGGTGCAGTGGTTGAAGAGAAAAGCAATTATTTCATATCGATGAAAAGTAACGCAAAGAACAAGAACAACAACATAATAACAAAACGATCCACAAGAACAAGAACAACAACATAATAACAAAACGATCCACTGGTCCACTACGTGTCCGATAACTGTTCTAGAATACTTCTGTGTACAGATACTCGCAACGATTCGTTTTAGCGTTTGTGACACAATATAGCCTACATTTTGTCTTTTTATAGTAGTTCCGTTACGAGGTTGTATAACAAAAAGAGAACATTTTGTGGGGATATACAAGTACAGGATGCTAATTTGCAATTTAATTTATTCCTTCGCAGCATACAATATAAAAATTTGAAAACTCAAATTGAAAACTTCAGAAATAATAAATACCAATTGATAATGGAAGTGATGGTTTTATTGCAATTGAAAGCTGATTGCAGAATTTAATTCTTCAAAGAGCGGAATTCCCTACTAAACAAATGAAACCATGCCATAGCATTATAAAATTAATTTCGGTGCTTCATATACATGTGACTGTGTGGTTTTGCGCTTACATTTCCTAACATCGAACTACCGAAATTCTCTCAGTCGCCGTGGAAGTGTTTCGCGTCTAAAGCGCAAAACTTCGAAATAAACCCCAAGGATTATTAGACTTGTGGAAAAGATTCAACGGCAAATTTCTCCTTTATGCATACCTTGATTAAATATCTATGACTCACTGGCTTATTTTCAATGATAAGAATAATTACGGGCACGTTCATATAAAAAGGTTCTCTATGCTAGGTCGAAAACATCAGAAGTGTGTAGTTTTCTTAAAGCTTATGTTTTAAAACCGTTTATAGTGCTGTATAAAAGTTATGTCCACAAATATTTTTGACTAAAAAGTAACAGTTAATGCTCACTAGACATGGATTTTTAAATTTCCTCATCTTTCCTACATTTGACTTTTAGGATAGTCTATGTAAATATATGAACAATATTAATAAATTGCCAACAAAATAGTTCAAATATTAGGAATCACTGTATTCGTAATGGTATTTCAAATTGAGAATGAAATAATGTATTGTTTCATTTTCGCTGAATAAAATTATAAAACCGCAAACAATATTTCAATACATTTCATTATTGTCTTTTATCCTTAAAATAGGAGCTGGTCCCTTCCACATTTTTCTCAGTATGAGCAATTAAAATTCGCCTTTCGAAAGTTTGGTTAGATGAAATGAATAAAAAAGGCGTTATTTATGCCTCCAGAATATTGACTGACGACTATCTTATGTTTGTCAATCCTAGGTTTGAAATCCCGGTTTAGCTTTTCAGTTTTTCTGAACGTTATGACCGAAGAAGTACGACATTCTATATGCAATAAGTTTATCTAAAATGCTAGATAAAAACGGATTACATTTTACAGAAAACTCCATAATAATTTGCAATTGTTTCATCAGAAATACATTCAAAAGACGGGATTCTACAGGACATTTATTCTTATACGTGGTAGTGAATGAATCAACGAAAGATAGAGTGTATTTACCACTCTCACACTTTGTTCCAAAATATCCTGGCTCGCAATTGCAATTGTATCTGTCCCTCCACGTGGCCATAATGCAGTTCCCGTGATTGGAGCAGGTTTCGTTTGTGCATGTTTTATCGATGAAGGTCATATCTAAATAACTCAATATTTACTATTGGATCGCGTGAATAACACAATAACTAGAAGACTTATCGATCGGAGGTTAGGGGATCCCCCAAAACAGTGGTCTTACTTCATAGTGACACCGTGTGTCCCATCACTAATTAATTAATAACTCGCTAATTATACGACATAATCCATCCAAAATCGATAGGCTCCTGTTCCGAACTATGATGAATGCAAATGCAAAATTTGGAGCAGATTCAAATCTCGCTTTCGTGAGATATCGCGTGTATCTAACAGACAAACAAAAAACAAACAAACAAACATAAAAATACCTATCAACATACTTACCGATCTTAAGATCGATAAGTAACGATCTTAAGACCGATAAGTAATAATATTGGATGGATTGAATTAAAATTCTGAAACATTTTTAAAAATGAACACCGCTCTTCACTGTACTGATTTTTGTGAGTAGCGCCTTTGACTTTGGCAGATATTTTCTTTCATACTGACTGTCGATTAGGTTATGAGTGACTCACTCATATAGTGTATTTAATATAAGTCAGCTATTTTGAAACTTTAGCGATGACTATATTTAGTAATGGAAATCGAACTTTAATATTACAGAATACAATCCAACCTGACTGGCAAACGTATTTATATCCAGGTGTGCAATCGTGATTGCGCCACAATCGTGTTGAAGCAAACTGGCGAACACACTGGTTTTTGATGATTTTTCTGTATTGTATTGGACTAAAACTATCCCTGCAAAAGTTGTAAATTATAGAGATTCATTTCGCTAAAATGAAATGTAATTACCAATGAGATACATATATTTTTGCAATGGGGTTCGAATATGCAAAATCAGATAGCAAATCTTCAGCCATGTTTTATCAGCCTGAAGTAATTGCCCAATTAACTTAATATATAATGATTTCTGCACAGTTTTATATTACTGAAGCTCAGTGACGCAAATGATGCAATTTGCGTAGCCGAAGTTAGTCATAATATAGTTGTTTTTCTCTGTGTGGTGGATAAGGCATGCTAGCATTGATAGATAAACATCCCTGATAGTTATTGCCTGATAGTTTCTGTGAAATATCACAATGAGCGATAAGGGAAACATTGATGGTGGTAATCAATTGGGCCTTTGCTCACCGCAATAGTAAATGCGCAATTTATTTTTTTTTGTTTACTCTCGCTATTAGGTTAATCGCTAACGCACTTCTGATATATAGGATATCAATAAATACGTATTCGTACCATTTTGAAAATCTCAGTTCACCCTCTTCATTCCAAAGCCATTCATATTTTGGTAGATAGTTCAATCCAATCCAGATATCGGCTCTAAAAAATTGTGAATTCTATTTCAACCTAAATATTTAATAGTAAATATGCCCAATGTAATTGTGCATGCTGTTAGGTGAAGACCTAACTTAAAAATGTTCATAATAAATTAATGAAACTGCTTATGCATGGAAAACCCTCTGTATATCAAATACCTGGTTAGATTTTTTACTGCATCGTATGTTTCGCGATCCTTAATTTCAACATGCCAGCTGTCTCTATCGGTACAAACTTTTTTGGCTGCATACCAATCTTTCCCTTGATCAAATAGTTCAAGTTTGTATGTTCGGAAAGTAGATGTGTCTGAAAATATTTCAAAACCGGTTAGTTATACTTTCGACGTCACATACGAATATTTCATTTTATCTTTTTACGATGAAACAACAGTATATTCATAAACTCACGTTTTGGGCTTTCTGATTGAATAGTTGAAAATAATAAACTGATCAAGGTAAATATCCATATTGCGTTCTTCATAGTATTTATGATTCTTTTTAAAAAACACTGTATTTTTCATATCTAACTTTGCCAGTGGAAGACAATGTTAAAAAAAATATACTGTATAATTTTTCTTATAATTACTTTTTCCAGCTCTTTATATAAAAATTTGGTACACCTGATTGTTATTATGTTGCAAATTTCGTGATTTTATTTCTAGGTAAGTGTATTTAATTGGCTAATTTAAAATAAATATTGTTTTATATTCAGGAGAAACTGAGACATCTTGTGGGCATTATCGATTCCTCCCAACTTCCGCGGACTGTATTTTCGGAAAAGCAGATTTTCATATTCCTTTTTGTGAATATATTTTTAATTAGCAAACTTTTGCAAGAGTTTTTGGAACTATCATATTCCGGAAATGCATTCATGGAAACAAGAATATGGCGTTATTGTAGCTTTAATATTGGTTTCTTTTAGTTTGGATAAAGATAGAAATTTTTCGTTTCCGATTTTTATTTGAGTTTGATTCAGAGAATGAGATACTTAAAGAATTATTAATTGGCTTTGATTCAATAAGCCCTGAAAGTTATAGTTTATGCGGAGTTTATATTAACTACTGCAATACACTTTACAATTTTTTCGCGCAAAATTACTTTTTTCGCAAATCTGCATTTTACAGAAATACTTTTGAAAAACGAATTATCACTTACAATAATCAGATATCCTTTATTACGAAAACATTCCTGTATAATTTATAAGTATAAAACACGCTAGCTCATATGAATTTCTATTTCGCGATGGTAAGAAGCCTAGTAAATAATTCACTTGCAACCAATTGTAATTTGGTGCAGTAGTAACTTTACCCCCAGCTAGGTTTGCCAGACGCTATGTTAAGCAAGTTCTGACAATATACATTAGCAAGATGTTTTTGACAATTCCAATTTTTATTTCGGATTTGTATTAGGACACGGTGAGTCCATTTTCGACATGGAGAATAATGTTATTCAAACAAAATACTGAAAAACTGCTGCAAACCTAAAACAGAACACTTGTGTTAGCATCGACTAATCTAATTTAATTCGGATATATTTATTATTGAATATATCATTATTTCTTAACACAGTGGTTCCCAGTCTTTTTTTTCTGAATTATCCACATCCCATTCCCCTCAGTGTTTCTTTCACCTACAAATAAAGATTCTTTGCTTAGTGTTATTATAATTCTCAGTAACTATTCATTATGTTTACTGTGTGTAAATTTTACAACTCCGTTCATTATCCACCAGCAACTCACCATGTCCTCACGAGTTGGGAATTATCGGCCGGTTGGGGACCACTGCGCGAACGCTATAAATATTCTCACTATTTTTAAACTAACAACGTCATGTTTCTATCTACTGCACTGCGGCAATTAAATGGCGCTATTTCTGCCACCCTGGGAACTTATGAACAGAAAACCAGGATGTCGTATAATATTTCATACTTCCCACATGCTTAAATATATACACAATCTCATTATGACTTCAATCAATGACACCACGTACAGGAAGTTTTTTGTTATGCTATCATTACGGTTTGAAGTAGAATAAAATGAGGAATTACATAATCCACATACAGTGAATCTATACCTTCTTTGTTGCGTTTTATTTAAACTTGTTAACAATGAAAATTTTCGAAATGTAAGTCTGAAGCCTTAATGGTCAATGGGGTAACATGTGACAAAATGATTATATAACAGACGTAGTCGGGCCGTGGTATGCTTAAAGCGCAAGGTTGAGGTTGTATTGGAACCGGGTAAAAAATTTCAAACATGTCGTATATTTATTGCATTTCAAACGCATTTTGAAATATTAAAACAAGGCTGAGATTAAGACCGAGTTAAACCTGTGCCGATTTTTTTACTTATTTCTTGTTCAAACTGACTTTTTATTTAATCCAAAAACATGTTTGCTGTGACGTGCAGTTCCATTGAAAGAGCTGCTAGATGTCGATGGTACGCGAAGTACCAATGAAGTGTTTTAGATAGAGGTGACGAATGACTCAATGAATCTTTCACCGCTTAGTGGTAGAATAGTGTGGATGATTAATAACAGATACTTTTTCTCTCCCTGTTTTGTAAAGCAAAAGTTTCCAAGTGGCATCTAGCAATATTCTTTGATAAACCAGTATAAAAAACCGCTGTCAAGTTATAATCTACCTAGGGTAAATCTAAGTATTTTCTAATGATCGCATGGTTGCTATACAAAACAACGTTTTTACGAGCACAGCTATATACTTCAGTTGTTGGAACATGATTTTCAGGCTCATATACTTACATTTGGTTGCATTGGTTCATTGCTATAGTACGTATAAAATGGAAATTCATAATATAACAACAGATGAAGTAGAATGCAGCATTAAATAGCAATATCACGTTAATCATTATTGTTATAAACTCATAATTTCACGACACCTGTAATTACTCATTAATTAAACAAAAGACAAACCTCCAAAGCAAAAGCCTCATTACGGAATAAGTGGAGTATCATATAAAGGCGCTATAGAATAAAATATATATACACTGCCTCAAAATTTAAATAGGATATTACGAGAATGTATATTGTCTTAGTAGAGTAAGACACGTTTAAAAAACCCAATTTTCAGTTTCATAATAATGCCATTCATATAGGACGTTTGCCTTTAAAGTTGGTTAAACTAATGGCAATTTACATCAGATGTAAATCATAGTATTTGTATTCATCTTGACACCAGAGGTATTTTGAATATCCTCGTATACGCTATTATTCTGAATTTTGTTCAATTGCATAGGAGTTTCATATGATTCAACTTGTCGTACATATTCAGCTTTAATGATAAAATTGTTACATTTGTTTGGGGCATTTGCTGTATCAATCACATTTTCACTTGCTTTTAACCTTTCTGTTGTATTTGGTGTCAAATTAGTGTTTTCGTAACCGTTAACATCCTTTTGGCTCTTATGCTTCATGTACGTGGTTTGGTAAGGAACAGTAACTTCATCTGTACTAGCATCATGTCGAATGGAATCCCTAGTGTCCACACGCGATCTAGAACAAGAGAGCAATTTTCAAATATATGGACACGAAGTTTCGTAATGACTCAGCGACAAGTGGGCTGAGAAGATCTATAGTCAAGTGTGATGGAGGCGGGAAAAAGTAATCCAATGCGTAAAAACATAACTTCAGAGTTTTGAGTTGAATATCGCGTCCCTTAGGAACCAGAAGTCATTTTATAGAAATAGATCAATGGCGTTCTAGCGTCTTCAACCAACTTTCGATATCGAATATTTGTAATCGATTACTCCATTCGTTGCATGAAAAACCAATTTGTTCGCAACAACAATAATAATTTAGCAACCATCTACAGGTCCACTTCGTGATAATTAATCTATATAGTAAAACTGAAATCAAATTGAAAATTATCAGGAACAAACCTTAATTTTATACAGAGAATGAAACTGGCGAGAAAAAGCAAAACGACTGTTGTTCCAAGAATCGAAGATGGGAGTATAAGTGACAAGTTAACCTTGCTTTCCGTGTTTGATTCATCCATAAGGACTAAAAGTAAAATATCATTGAATGAGTTAATGCCTTCATGACTGCATTTAAATAATAGTGAATAATATCAATGTTCCGATTCTAGCCGATCTTTATTGGCATTTACTTACCAACATCGCAATGCTTTGGTGATTCAGCACTTGAAGTTATTACATACTTATGAGTAGTTGGTGGATGCACACATTCAGCAGGGCATAAGATGAGCTACAAAAATAATATAGTTATAGGTTACTATCAAGATTGATATTTGAGTGAATGAAGTATCAATCAAAGTAGTATAATAATATCATTTATTAGGATAGATTCGGATCTCGATTTGATTTAACGCATTCATAGGAATAGAAAGCGATAACAAGTTTATATTTATTTTTACAATATACCTTACCTACTCTATTTCTATAAATATATTTGTTACCATTTACTTTTAAATTTATTTTTGATACCATTTATTTATTTTTCATTTATTTCTCTTAGTAAGTAATATTGGTACGTAAATAAGCTTCAAGTTTAAATATGAAACTCACCTTTATCATGTACATCGTTGAATATTGTAAATTGTTGAAGAAAATTGAATTCATTCGACGTACTGCTACGGTTTCATGTGATGCCAATGACTGACTAGAATTTTTTTCAGATACTTCAATCCTGTTATAACAAACAAAATTATTATAATAAAAAAAAAATACAGAATGTCATCATTTGAAGATTTTATCGCTGTTGTCTTTGTAAATTCGTAAAATCTATACTTAATAAAATATTCGATTTTAGAATAGTAACCATACAAGTTCACAATGAAAAATCACCTATGTGTTATATTCAATGCTTCCAACGAGGCATAAAATGTGATTTTGATTGCTGTGCCACACTCTTCAATCTTCAAACTCGGCAATGTCGACGATGCTACAAATAGTACAATCACATATTTCATATATGTTGACACAATCTGATTGAATGATTTATTATCAGTTTTTGTTTTCATTAACACGTTGTAACACTAATTACACATACGAAGGCATATAAGTATGTAACTCATTCTTATGGTTGCATTACATTTGAACCCACGTACATTTGAACCCATGACAATTGCACCTGTATGCTATTGCACCTATAGAATTTTTTTTTGTTTCACGGATAGTTAAACCCATACTAACCCTAACCCATGGGTTTTAGCACCCGCATATAGATTGAACCCGTGGATATACGCATGGGTTCAAATGTACATGGGTTCAAATGTACGGTCACCCATTCATATACATCAGGGCCGGATCCGGCCCGCGACGCTTCACTAAATTATAGTAACAAAACAGCTGTTTTGGCGCTTATATACTTAACGTTATTGTAAGACACGTGTAGACTAAATTATATTATAACCTAACAAGTATATATTTCACAATTACTCGTTTAATGAGCCTATAGCCATATAATGTAATTAGACAAATGGCAACAAAACGCCGAAAAGTTGAAGCTAAGTGCAAAGGGTTCAATGGCGCCGAAAATATTCAAATGGAATTTTTTGAGATGCAATGCGGCAATGAGCAAATAAACTATATTTTATTTGAGAGATGTGAAACTGCTTGATTTTTATTATGAAAAGCATCATCCATTCGGTTTTCAACTATTTGAAAATATGTGCGGCCCGCCAATGACTTGCAACTCTTAATTTTGGCCCGCGAGCGACAAAAGGTTGCTGACCCCTGATATCCCCTGATATACATGCTATTAGTTCAGTGATAGTATACATAATAGTGAGATAGTACAGTTTACCAAGATTTTCACATATAAATCCAATTGTTCTATTGCATTGAACAACATTCCAGTACCATAGGCCCCAGTAGGACATACTAGCACAGTCAAACATTATATTATTTGGTTCGCCATCCTTCCAACCAATATATTGTCCATTGCTTGATCGATTGTTGCGCTCATTCCATCTGTACAAAATTCGATAACTTAATATTTATTCACTACAGTATTTTGCTGCAGACCACGTCAATATATTTTGATAGTTCAACATAACAGTGAAAGCATTACGCAAATAATATATTTTAAAATGCAAAAATATTCCTACTTTCCATTTTTTGTTTCATCGTAGAATGCAAATCCATTCTGCCATTTCCATTCAATTTTTCGTTCTTGAATTTTCCTGGTTGCGCCGATGTAAACTGAACAACATATCAACAAAATCAGAAGGCAAACCTTTATTCAAACCTAACTCGTACTATAATCACAGTGCAGTAATTGTTACTGAATTCATAGATATTTATTTCATTTTCAAAAAAGCAAAATTAGATGCACAGTGAATTCTACAAATATGTTGATATGTTTATGAACTGTCGATATAAATTGTTTGTATCAGTCAATATTTAAAGCTGAAAGATATGTAAATAACATTTCTGGTGTCTAAATACTACTCGATGACAAATAAGCACGTATGATAATCGCAGATATTTATTTGGTTATATGAATCATTCGAGCTGTAGTATTTTATATTTTATTCACAAAAAAGTGTAGCTAACCGTCCACATCAACGCCAATGTTCTGTAACTTTTTTGATATTGCATTTTGAGTAAGATCATTTGAAATCGTCACTAAGTTCCCACCAGAAGAGTGACATAGTTCCTTTGCCTTGTAGTAGGATCGCCTGTCTTTTTGTTTCCAGAATATTCGATAAATGATGTTATTTTCAAAAATTACATCTATAAATGAAAGAACAGAAATTAATGTTGTACTTTAAAGCAGCGATTGCATTTCTATGAATGATTGCGATAGTTCGAAAATTTTTCAAATGTTGCAATATCGTCACATGAATGATAATATTATTTCATCCACACATTTGAATAAGTAAAGCCTTAAAAAATGAAAAGGGTATGTATGAATGTTGTATCGCAGCTGCAAGGAAAAATGTATTAACAAACGATTTGTTGCGAGTTATATCATGATAAAATGGATGACTTACCGTTATTTATCAGAAATTTATGAACTGCTGACGTTTCGTAGTCATTTTGGGCAAAACAGTGCACTTCAGTTGTTTCAAGAAATTTAACCAAACTTATGCGTAAGATTCCTGTCGTCTGAACAAGGTTATTAGTAGAATTGATAAAATTGGAAGTTTGAAATATGGAACCGACGATATTCTCATTTATATTTCTCAATTTTGAGTTGTATCGATATTCCCAATATACTTTGGGAGCAGGATACCCTTCAAACGTACATGATAGCAAATCTTCATTGTTTGATACGTTCCAGTTAATGAGTTGTAATTTTCCTAAATAAGAGATTAGCAATAAAAATCGGAATTTCAAATCACCTTGAAATACTGTCATAGGTCTCAGCCGTCGATTTAATATAAAGAATACATTATATACAAATAATATAAAAAATACTAGAACAGTTATAATTATAGTAGTGAATAAATTCGCGATTATAAATTAAAAATTGAGATGTTTTGAGGAGTATGTCATCTATACTTATAATGAAGGTAATATTTCTATCAGGTATATATGCTTTTATAATAAAATTGTGGCGTGGGATTTATTCGTTTTATCATAACAGGCTTATGAATATGACGCAAAACTAATTGACTTAAAAAAACAGCAACTTCTATAAACAGATTGTAATAACAACTCACCTTTGAGTAAAATGGTAACCGAAGTAGTTTTGTAATAAGCATGAGAACTCGATTCAGATTTCGCACGAAAGTTGTAAGTTAATTTTTCTCTTCCTGGTCCAAATGGACCAAATGTAAAACTAACAGTTCCTGTTACGTTGGATTTTGTCGCAACAGATGTTGCAAAATCATCATTTTTAAAAACTTTAATCTTTACTGGTCCGTCATAGCTCAAAATCGTTAAATCAACTGAGACACTTTGTCCAACGAATATTGTATAATTTGTTTCCGTTGGTAAAATCGATATTGATTCTGTTTTGTTAAAAAGCAATTCAGATTCATGTTTTTAAATATTTTTCAATACTTTATTTTGTATTATGTTGAATTTTTTGACTTGTTATTTTTAATATCCAAAATGAATTCGTATCGACGCATCATCATCTCCCTATTTCACTTTTTCATTACTTTCTCGCTATATGGCATATTTAATATTAAAAATATGCCAAGTTGTTACTTTTCTAAAAATTGCTGTCAGTATTACAGAATTCGCAGTTCTTGAACTTTTCGAGACACATTATAGTTGAAAAATTAAGTGTTTAGATTATGCTTGCATTTGAAGGAAAAAAAAACTTCGGTGGTATGTAAATGATATTATCAATTTCTACTTTGTCACTCTAAACACTATAAAAATGAGTAATTGGTAATATACGTAATCACACTTGCCGCTGGTGCAAAATTCTCCAAAGTAACCTGGAGTACACATACAGTTTGATTGACAGCCAATCTGATTGCAAGTTCCGCCATTGTCACATACATTGGTTGAACATCGATCGAAAACTACAAAAATTGAAAAGTTAATCGTGTTAACGTGAAACATTTGATAAGCAACGTAGGGGAAATAACTTGAGAAGTAATGTCTTTAGAATCAATATAATTGCTGTTGTATATATATATTATTTTCCAATTGTGAAGTATTATTTTTTTTAGCAAATACAGCATTTCAGTTCCATCCAGGTTCCACAAGCCGAATGACTTGTGAAACAGTAAAGGTTGATATAAAGACAGGGAAAATAGTGTCAAGGAAAAGCAGAATGTTTGGCATCGCTATTATTCATATGAGGCTTCAATTATTAGTTTTACTAAATTCATGCTCAGGTGTCGCCTACTGTTGTTGTAGGTATGTATCGGTATTTCACCGATTTATAATTTTAATAGGTTTTAATATTACTATCAGTAAATTGTGCTTGTTGTAGCCCCTAATACACAGTATATTCTAAAAATCGTGAGTTTCATTAACCCAAAACCTATGCCTATTGTGCGACGTGTCTATTATTACCGCAATTTACCGCATTTTTGCTTCAATGGATCAAAATATGATAAGATTGTTTTTGATTCTATTAGGTATACCTGATATTTCACAAATATAATCACGTAGCTTTGTTCCTCCATTATTAATCCACCTCATATTATTTCTTGTAGTTTCATAAGAGCTCATAAACAAATACCCAGATGACGTCTTAACTGCACTCCACGCAAACCTCATGTCCATGTCCGATATAGATGATCCGTCCATCCAGATCCACTTTTTATTTTCCTTATAAGCTCCAATCCAAAAATCCACAGTTCCACCCCAATTACGATATCGATATATTATTTGACTTTCAACGAAATCCTGTATTGCTGTTGTTTTCATCATTGCCAATGATCCACCCATACTTTTGCATGTTGCGTTTGCTTTACTGAACGTTATCGCGTTGTTATAGCTAACGTGGTATTTGCAAGTGCCGTTGGGTACCATATTGCCTTCTAAACACAATACATTTATAAAGAATTCAATGTAGCATGGCTATAAAAAAAAGGGCTTCTCAGTCACCTATTGTCGCTGTGGATTCTAAATATTTATTTCAGAAGTTTATCCAACAACATATGAAAAGTGCAACAACTTTGAAATGTACTTTTTCAATATAATTAGCACATTATCAGCGGACCTCCTGTTATCGTGCTGTGGACCCCTGTGGGTCTACCTGGACCCCATTGCGAAGCCCTACTGCAATGTATTGCCTTCTATATATACCAGTAGACATAAAATGACTTGAAATACTGAAAGAAACTTGAACTTGTTTGAAAAACTCAGCTGTTGTGACTGCGAGTTGGTTATCAACTAACCCACTGAGTGATTGGGATAAATAAATTAAAATACAGAAAGAAATGCCCGAAAATAAGTATTTCGGACGAACTTTCAATAATATGTTCACAATTATTTTTTTGTTTCAGATATCTAAACATTTAACGTAAACGGCATTCATATTTCAAATCATGGCTATATTTATATATATATATACATATAAACATTTTGTATCTCAAATACTTACTGTCAGCCTTTACTTCTGTTGAAAGAGTCAAGAATATCAAGATAAATGTAAAGAAAATAATATTCATTCTGCTAGTCCCTGGAGCTTAAACAAAATCAATAATGATAGCAAGATTTTTTTCTTCAAACTTATTTATTTTTGAATAGCATAAATTATCAACCAAAAACCACGAAGAGTGGGGTTAATGAATATTCTCTCAGATTTATAATTGAATTATAAAAGGTCTTGGGAAAGAATGGTGGCCTGTCTTTAATCCAATCTTATATTACAGTAGTTCAGTTTAATATATGCGATGATATAAGTAAACAGTTATTTAAGATTTTCGATTTACTTCACTTCTGTTATGCTTTAAACTTTTTCACTGAAAAAAGGCGCTCCATAAGTATGTGTACCAAAATGGAGGTAACTAATTTTGTTTGCATTACCTTACATTAAGTTGTGTAAAGATAGGGAAGCCTATGGGCAGGGAGTACATTCACTTGGCTAACACAAACAGTAATTGAACTAAAATAAGGGAAATCGGAATAAAATTATGGCCTAACCCTAACCTGGTACACATACAACGGAGTACCAAAAAACGTAACAGACTAGGCTGTCTTTATTCCTTTTTCGCCCGCTGCTTACAATACATCATGATGCATTCAAAAGACTCTCACTACGCTTTGTTTTCCAGCACATATTCATATGAAACTTTCATTTGCGCAAAATATTGTGGGTGGTTTTATTTTGTTTGTGACAGCAAATGTTATACTTACTGACTAGTTATTTTGATAAGCACTTCCTTATCTAACACTTATAGAATTGGTTTATTTTAGGCAAATGACGATTTCAACAAATCTGCAAATTACTATAATTTGAAGTTAACGGCGTCAAACTACTCGAGAATTCGAGTGTAAGTTTTTCTCGTCTCCACAGTAATAAATGAAATGCATGTCGTCACGTGCTCAAAAATTAAGAAATTAATTATATTGAAGGACAATGTTGTAGTCTGGCTTATACAGCCATTTCCATCACCACAGACAATTTTTAAAAACACTGAAAATTCACCTGTCATTTATTTAAAGTAGTCAGGCATCTGCTAATACATTCGAATGTCTCAAATTTTTTGATCGCTCATTCTTATATGCAAATTATAAATGTAACATACACACTTTGCGATGCAATTTTCTGATCTTATTCCTTTTTTTTTACATTTCATTATCATATGTTTATTTAACAGGTCACGTTAGTTTGTTTTTGATGACTGCTTAATTACTCCCGTCGAGGAGTCCATCTAGTAGTATCTGAGAATTTGAAATTCTCTAGAGCTTCCAGTGAATGGAGTAACTTTGTCCTCAAATAAGTAATCCCCGTGGTATAAGATACGATAAATGCCAGTAGATTGAGATTTAGGCACATCCCACTCTATTGTTACGTGACTCTCCGTGGTTCCAGGATCTGCTTTTACTTGATCGTATTTCCTTAAAACTCCTTTTGCAATCATTGCTTCTTGGATGCTTTAAAATAATAAAAAGAATGTATGAAAACCAATTTCAAGTTCAATTAAAAAGTGTAACAAATATTGTTGATCTGATATTGACTATTTGCTTATTCATCTGCGTAAACCGACCACCTTGTGTGAGTAATATAATAAATTCTTTTATTATATTACACTCATTTCAATTGAGTTAATAAATCTTAAAGGCAAACCTCAATTTGACAAAGTATCCATGATTATTTAATCAAATTTTACAGCCTTTATACACGCTTTCAACCGTAACACCAAACGCATATTTGGGGAGAAATCCGTAAAATAGGTAAATTTGAATCAGGTCATTCAGGTCGTTTTTTGTGAGACATGTAATTGAAATTTTTACCTGTGATATCGATTCACATCTGCATCGTATGAAGGAACACTTAATTCACCTAGTTCGTACAGTTCTCTGGCTTTGTTTAAATCAAAGTATAATCCTGTGGCTTCAGCTATCATATCAATAGCTGTTGTTATGACATTTTCTTCTTTTGTTGAGTCTCGGACACTGCTTACATCTTTCCAAATAAATTTGGTTTCCCAATCGGAATCTCTAAAGACTGTCACCCATGACGTATCGGAATCTTGATACATTTGAACTTCAAGGTAAGTACCACCCAACTGAAATGAAAAAAAAAATGATTGTGATCTTTGTATTTTGAGGTTTTGAAAAATCTTATCCAATCTGATTGTTATTTTGACTTCAAGTAGAAAAATCTTGGAAAATTCTTTGGAATTCTGCAAAAATTGGAAGCTTTCTTCGGTAATCAAACACAAATATTTCTCGAGGATTTCAAAACGTGCACACAATGGATATAGGAATCTTTAATCCGCCAGGCTATACGGTGGAGGAAAACTTAAATCTGAAAAACCTTGGCTGTATAGAGCCCGAATGCCTCAATATTTTAGTTCAAACTGTTCTTTCATTGAAATGAATAAACGTATAAAATATCTTACCTTTACATTATGTCTGGGGTTTGCTCCGTAGAATGTCAGACTAACTGTGTCACCGGGAGCGTAAGTTTCATTGGCATCAGTAATAACATCACCAAAATTGACACCGTCGGGAATATAATCTGGATTCGGTGCACCCAACAGTTCTACGGCATCGTTGGGTAATATCGGTGACGGTCCAGGTTCAACTAGTAACCATAGAATAAAATACATAGATATATATATTAGCAATGAATGAGATTAGTAGCCGAATAAAATGTTTAAAAGTCGTATGAAGATCACCCAAAGTGTCCAAGTAAAGACTCCCCACTCTTATATATATATATATATATGTTTATATATATTAAACATTCGGTGCTCCCGAAGTATGCGAACCAAGATGGCGGACATCGGCACGTAACATGGGTAACAGGTTAGGGTTAGGCGATAGTTTTTTCCAATTTTCCTTATTTTAGTCCTATTATCAGTTCGAAGACTAGCCAAGAGCCTCCCGTAGTATTTATACCTAAAATTATGGCCTAACCCTAACCTAGCACACATATTACATTCCGATGTCCGCCATCTTGGTTCGCATACTTCGGGAGCCCCAAACATTCTTAGGATTAAAATGTAAATTCTCTTTTACCAGTAGTACCAATTTTGGATAATAGGAAGACCCGTCCAAAGTGTCCAAAGTGAAGGATGGGGGGTGATCTTCATATGGCTTCATATTTTTGTAAGATCAATGTTTATTTACTGTGATTTACCGTGATAAAAGTACTCTCTGAACATGATTGCTATAAATTAGTTTCATAAATAATAAATAAAAGCTGAAAGTTACTTTCTTCTCCTCTGAGCATGCTTTCGACCATATTTGTATAACGTTGCATGTAAGCCATGTGAGTGTAAGGGCCAAATAAAGTTGACGCCCCTTCATATCTTTGTGCTTGATACTCTTCGTATGTCACCATATAGTGAGTATAGACATTTGATAGTCCGGCAATAACAACCTTGAATACCATAATACTTTTAACACTTTCAAGAATGAAATATATATATATAATTTTAATGTGTATCAGAAACAGTTACAAATTTTGAAAAAACGGCATTTATTTTTTATTTTTAGTTCGATTGTCGAGACAAAATGAGGAGACAGAATGATAATTTCATTGCGAGTTATAAAATAACTTTTATAAGCGTTCTCCGCAAGACAGAGCTAGAGATTTGTCAAAATTTGAGCCGATCACATGCTCTATCTCTCGGAGAACGCTTATAAAAGTTTTTTTAAACTCGCAATGAAATTATCATTCTGTCTCCATATTTTGTCTCGAAAATGAACAAAAAATACCATTAAACATTGTACGCAATTGTACGAATATGTATAGAAATGATGAATGTTATATAAAGTAGTTTAAATGCAAAAGCAGAGATAGTAGACTCAAAAATCAAGGATTCAAGTAAGGATGCTATAATTTTATTAGTTGGACAATATATTTTGAAAAATTCAAAAGTTCTATGATTTCTATGATATTTGCGATCGAACATATGATACGTTTTCGCCACTTTCATAAAATTGTGAATATTTGTTAGACCAGAATGAATTGGGCTTCAATATGTATTTAATTGAATAATGACCATCAATGATAATGAATAAATTCTAAATCACCCTTGTGTTCTCCGGCATTCCCATGCTAATTGCCTTTGCTTTTATTGAATCAATCAGTCTTCTGCCTCCCATTGTTGAGAATTCTCCAGGAACAGCGGCTATCAATAGTTGTCCAATTCGAAGCAATTGTACATCAACTATGGTTGGATGCCATTGATATGGTTTATCCATATCTAGACAATGAAAGAAATTTATTAAAGTATATAACATAACAATGATTAATTAAAACAAAATCGTTTAATAAATGTTTTGTAAATCAAGTACGGATTTTTTCAATAGTTCATCGGTGTATATTTGTCTTTATAAAGTCAATTTATAAACGACCAAACAAAATTTAGCATCTTTAAATCAACATCTTTTTTAAACGCGCGTAAAAAAGCCGCGGATTGCAATTTTAGTAGTGACAAATAGACTCAAATATTTAATGTATTTTTACATCCAGTTGGAAATAAAACCGGCTTTGGTGCCTGACAAGCCGCGTATGCATCATCGGGCAACTCCCCACTACAGGCAATTGGAATGAGAATTGCTCTGACGACTTCCCAAAATTCTGTGCCTTCTGTCGTTCCCTGGTGAAAATCAAACGCTCCGGTGCCATCCGTACATCCCGAAGCAAAACTAAAAATATAATCAATATTTTTATCAAACTGTTATATAATTTTGAGTGTCGTAAATGAAACTTGACATGGCGCTCCTCCTAAAAAGTATCCTTGTCTAAAGGCGCAAGAATACAGAGACGACCTACTTACGGTACGGAACGCTAATACTGGCTTTTGACTATGAAAACAACACACCTGTATCCTAATGCAGGCTTGCAAGTCGTTGCTGTTTTTCCTTCCCCAAGATCGACTACTTCATGCGACATGTTAACATACTGATGAGCGAACGAGACTGGTCCATGTACCGGTTCTCTTTGCGGACTGAGAGCGTAAAAAAGTTGACATATTTGTTAGTAAAAATTTGTTTTTTTGACCGTTTTAATCCGAACAATAGAAATATTTGATGTAGTTCACCAAGCCGAACCGAGTGCGCTGCATTTAGTAAACAAAGGCTTCAAATATTTGAGGAAATAGAAAAGCTGCTTATATTTGTTATAATTATTGTCGTTCAGGTACACATTTTTTCGATGTTTTGGGTATTTTGGAATATGTAGGAACATATTGAAATATTTACCATTGTTTCTTATGGCAAAAAAAGTTTTAGTACAATCACGAACGAATTATATTCAACTAATAAGACATCATTTTTTGCAATATATTCATGACTGTTAAATTACAGATACAATAAATCTATGAATTTTCTGTGTAAGATTTTGTTGCTTCTTGTACTGATTGCTGAAGATGTAAAAGTAGCATACCTTTTTTATCTGAAATTAAATTTATTTTACCTATGAAACATACTGCTAGCCAACTCATATTGTTTTCTTCCGATTATATCTGTAGATTCAAACATGTCGTTGCCGGGTCCAGAAGCGACGCAAAGTTGTGCGCGTTGAATTTCAAATTTTGGTACTAATGGTGGCCGGATGCTGATTGTGTACGGACAAGTAGAGTTGTAAAAATCGCATTCCAATCCTAATAGAATTAGGATTTGAATTGTATCTTGTATATTTAGATCAGAGGTTCCTAAACTGGGGTACATGTGACCCCAGAAGTACATTTAAACTTTTCAAGGGTGCATTACATCAAAAGTATAAGGTTATTTTTTCCATAACTTCTAAGTTAAAACATTTTTTATCACCTGCTGTTAATAACTTACAATGGGACAGGGTCTACCACCTCATAGGCAAGTATTATTCAGTCGATATATTGCATATTCGAATGCAGTGTCTGTTTTGAGCTTGGATTACATCTTTGTGGTCTTTGAATAATGCTATTAACTTATCTTCGTGGTATCAAAGTAAAATAGTCGATATTAAACTTTTTGGGCAAAGTAAGGGGAATGTAATGGACTGCCTGGCTACAGAAAATAAGTTGTGCATCAGAGCAAGTGGAGTTTGGCAACTTAACAAATGAGAAAATTTTGGGATATGCGAGCGAATCACAAAATAGTCCAAAGAGTATACCGATGAACACAAAGTTTGGGAAACCCTGCTTTCGACTATTATCTATTTTCTAAAATTAATATTGTTCAATTAGTTCATCTCAGCTCTAAACATTCTTTTAACATTATTGTTATATTTTCTCACCTGTATCAGTGCATCGAGGTCCTGCTGTATTTGGCGATACATCACCTAGATGAGATTGAGCAAATGCGGCCGAGAATGATTCCTAAAATAAATGTGTTTTATGTGTATCACTTTATTTCAGAGATAAGCGACAAAATAAGCAATACAAGAATACTATGAAGAAGAATTTATATTACTCGTGTATAATAGATCCAACTACAGTCTTTGACGACGCATTAAAACGAAGTTTGCGTTGTAATAGCAATTATACGTTGGCCAAAAAATACATATTTGATGATACTGATTTGTATTTAAATCACATAGCCATTGTATTTGTACAGCTGAGAAAACTTCAGGAAAGATGAGAGCACTTATGAAAGCGTAGAATATTAAACTACTTCCTTTCCTACGTTAAACTGTGAGATATTTCAAAATATTAACATTAGAATATGAAAAATTAACACTATATTATAATAAGGCAAACAAATTTCATTAATGGTGTGAGAGATATGAAAAATTAACGCAAGAATAATCGGACGTTTAGCAATGACATGCAGTTCATAAATTTTGGTTAAAACGTATTTTTTCTGTGAATGCAACAACAACCGTTGTTAGTAAACTGTACCTTTCCCGTCATGTTTTCTCCTTCATTTCGCATAGAATTTTCAAATAATATAGCTGCCCTTCCTTTGTTGTCTGAATTTATCAAATGATTTGAGCTGTTCATGCTTGTTAGGTGAACTGGAAACCAAGTGATGATTCCTAAAGGTCCGGCATCTGCTGCGTCAAATCGCAAAAGTGTCATTTCGTGATCAGTGTTGTATTTGTACCTTTAACCAAATAAAAGCTAAGTAAATGTATAACGAGATATTTTGCACCGGAAAGAAAATACAGTGGATATTAGAGTATGGTGTACTGAACTGAACTCATTATTCGCTTTTTAATCAGGTTATATCTTGTTTTTTCTTTAAGTTAGACTATGATATGACGAACGTTTATTAATATAATTGTTTTTCGAGTAAATAAATAAAGCAATTCTGGGGAAAAGAAAATAGTTTATGTAGTTGTTATCTGCAAAAGATTGTATCAAATCGATCAGAATAACAATATTGCAATATTGAAACAATATAAAGAGCCATGTAATCAGGATTCATTAACTTAGAAAACATTACAAAAGTAAAAGTATCCGCATTCCATCCACTTCTTAATCTTGAGTTGCTCAAATTTGCAATTGCTTCCTCTATTAGTTGGAGAGAAAGAAGTTTTTTTCACAAGTTTACTTGAAATATCGGTCAAGCGTAAGGAAGGCAGATAAGAGAGACGGTATGAGCGTTTCATATTCACAAAAGATTGTTTATTATAGTTAAATTAAAACAGCAAAATGTTGTGTAGGGTCCCATTTGACAGATAGAAAATATAAAAATGACTGAAAGTAATTGCCACCAGAAGCTTCAACAATTTTTATTACCTAATAATTGAAGCGATTTTTCACAGCAAAAAAAAAGTTAAAAAAAACGATCTACTAACCTTTTTCTCTCGTTTTCTGGGTTCCGCAAATATGCGCTAGGACTTCTGTTGATATTCGCATCATGAAGTTCTTGCGAGATGACCTGAATATTTCCAATGCGCATTTTGCTGTGAGCTAAAATAAATATAGGTCGATACAATCAATTGCATTGAACATCTTTTGATGAAACTTTCATGAAAGGATGCAAATAAAATATTTACGTGAACGAACCATATTTTATACTTCGAACGATTCCTTCGATATACGATTCAATGGCTTGGGAAACCATTCCCTTTGAAGTGACTTCAAATAAAGTATATCCAAAAAATCCTCCTGGAGCAGAGTGTGTATGCGAACCGGATAGCACAACGTTTCTCTCCGTGTACCTTTTCCGTGTAAAATTTTATAGTTTTGATATTTTAGCAGTTTTTACTTCAAAAAGTACAATCACTCTTAAACAATCGAAATCCATTGTATATTGCAATATTTTTAGTTAGTTTAAATTAGTAAATATGTATTTACTTGCGTTTTGCTAAAATTTCATATTCATACTTATCAATATCTTATGGTATATCTCGACCAATTATTAGAAAAATATCTGTTATATGTCACAATTTTTTTTATATGGTTAGTAAATAGGTTATTTCTTGCGTTTGAGAAATTTTTTATCTCAACTAATTTTTGAGAAAATACATTCTTGGTATTCTTAAATCATACATGTCACCAAATTCCTTTCGTAGTTCCTCTATTACTCGTAGTTTAACGAGTTGTGAAGTCATTCCGTAATCGACACTGACAAATGCTACTCGAGTAGTTTTTGAAATATCTGCAATGATAAACGCGCGACTGTACAGTCGAGTATGAATACCACCCGCATTTTGACCAGGTTTAGCATAACCCATCTGAGAAAAAAAATTGGTTTGAAGAACGTTAGACAAAGACAATGTATGTAAATATATTTCAAATGTAACTTGAATAAACAGTGTTGTTGAAACGGGTTATTCATGAACGGGACATTCGTAAAAATGCGTATTCACGAAATTGTCATATGAAAAAAATGACTACACTAGCGCCATTAAGTAAATTATTGTGCAAAAATGTGAGAATGAATTCTCGGAAAAATTTTCATATCCTTTTTCATTTAATAATTATTTATTGTTGGCCAAATAGGCATTATAAACTTTGAAACGCAATGTTTTTTCGAGTATAAGTACAAATATATCATATTATTTTCTCACATAACCTATTTTGAAAAATAAAACACCTGATGAAAATTGATACAGAAAATATGTGTTTTAAAAACGTTGTGTTATTTACTTATTGAGTGCATTTGGTTACTAGATTATTTCACATATCCAGAGTTTAAATAATTTGCTTTATTTTAACAGTATTGTTCCTATTGAATATAGCTATGCATACCATGTTTACTTGGCTGACGGGTCCTGTGACGTCATTTTTCCATATACCGATATAATATTCTCCACTAGGGTTAGGCTCGACGACTAAAACAAATATTTGGCAAACATAAATCATATTGTCAAAAAGCAGATTATAATCGATATTATGTCGTGGTGATCAAACAACGCCAGTGCATTTACCGTTACCTGGAATTCATTAATTTTGTTGATACAAATCTACTATAGCCGTAAATGAATTCACTTCTTTTTGAAACAGGTTTGGGTTGCATGATACTTGTTAGTTTCACCGACGAAAATTAGGTTTTCCCGTAGTGTGTGTACCAGATAAAGATTAGGTCATATTTTAATTTGATTTACCCTAATTAAGTTCTATTACGAGTTTGGGGACTGTCTGTGTTAGCCAAGTGAATATACCCCTTGGCCATAGATTTCAGTCCCTTCCGTCCTATTACACAACTTGATGTAAAGTAGACAAAAAAAATTAAATCAATTAACGCTTTAGTAATGATAAGACAGCAATTAGTTAGAATCAAAATTTCAAAACTGTTGAAGTTCTTGCATTCCTATATATATATTGAAGTAAAAAGTCGGCGGGCTTGTGATATTTTCACTCTGATGTACACTAATCAAATATTTATATGAAATATGTATATTTATGTTTATATGGACATCAAAAATAAAAGTGGTTTTATACAAATATAGAAAAACAACAATGTCATGTAAAGTAATTTCACCTATAACGTCGTCATCGTGATTTTCGCTATAAAAATAGCCGGCCATTCCACACAAGAAACCAAATATTATAACAGTGACGATTCCTAGGATAAACCGACTAATCAACTTCTTTTGAGAGGTTATTGAAGGTGAATTGTCTCTTTGCTGTGAATTACACATAAAATGTCAAAATTTTCATTGGTAAATAATCGAAAAAATGAAATTGCTAATGTGAAGTGAAATGCAGTACAGTAATATTCATATGAACGATGACCCGAAACAGGTGAATCACAAAACTTTTGGAACGAAAGTACTAATTTATCATTTCTCTAATTTCTCTCACAACAAGTCAATTTGTTTCATTGGTAATGATTAAAAAGGTACCGCTTTGAAATAAAACTGACCACAATAACTTTGCAACTGTTTTTTTTGCTAATTATTTTTATTTTAATAAACTGACAAAACGTGGATGAAATAAACAACTTAAACGAGTCGTACGAATATTGAGATACACAATTTTGATTTATCAGACTAACATGTATAATGTGAAATAATAAATATAATATTCTACATCATTTTAGCACGAATACTTTCTTACCGACTGGTCAAATTCTTCCATGTTTCTGAAGCAACTTTTTCATCGGTACATAAATGTAATTTTGCTGCTGGAGATACAGTCATCAACGAAATAGATCACAACAACAAGTGAATTACTTTATTGATATATTTGACTGCTAATCAAAGCCAGCTTCTATGTAAGTACTTGAAGTACAAAACCTTTAGTTGAAAAATAATTGACATTTAATGAGTCGACGACATGTCACCAAATACATAAATAATGATTTTCTTTATTGCAGGAAAAGACGTACTCCTCCAATTTAGCGGCATTGGTGATTAAAAAAATTATGGTCTCAAGATGCAAAACATTTATGCTATACTTAAACCTGCATTCTAGACGAATCTATCAGCAACGAATTGTCGTCTAATATATATAATTAGAATATACTAGTTTTATCTCATGATGCGATAGATGTTTTTGTGTGCTTTACTTTAAAGCCAATCAGTAAATGCACTTATTTTTGACATAGCTTAAAAATTGGAGACAAAAATCATAAAACTTTTTGGTATACCTAAATTGGCTGAACATCTATTTCAAACGTTATCGCCAACTTCTTCAAACTAACACTATCGCAGTCAAGTGAAAAGTAGGAATAAGCTCGACATTTATCACTGCTGTTTACGACCGGCTTGTATACTGCACAAATATAACATTTGTTTAATTAGTGATGTTCTGTATTCGAGTAATACAGTTATCAAGGACGATACCAATTATGTCAACGTTGGTAAGCTGACTTAACAACCATAAAATTAATTTCAGTATTGAAAGAAATAATATGTGGAAATTATATTGGCCACGACCAATGTTTTCGACATTGTTGGACTAATAACACTTTTTATATCCATAAAAATAAAGTTTACATTTCTACCTGAATCGCATAATTGATGTGTTTAAACTTCATCTGGAACTGGATGGTAAGCTAACCCGAGATCACTGAATGTGCGTATGCACAGGCAGAATCAGAAATCGTTGGGCGATAACAATATAGCTAAAAACAATGTAGGGGTTCGAGCACAATTCTAGGTTTCCCAGGAAACTGTCGGGCCAATCTGGACGAATCGTGATATGTGAGTCAGGGTTAGTGTCGATGTAAATTCCGTCATTCGTCCCGCGTAACGACTCTCGTGCATCTATCGAACACCAAATTAGCGTACCCTTTTTACTCCGCCCAAATCTTTTCCTTACATTTATCCATGCGAGTAGCGTAGCGACCATCAACTGGATTGACGATGTCCTGGCCGCATTCAAATTATGTAAATGGCTTTTAACCTATGTTTTAATAACGCTTTGTCAAAGTAGATGTGCATTTGGTTAATATTTTCATTTTTCTTCTAATTTCACTAAACTGAGGAAATATTTTGCATACTCTCGTGGAAGCATGTAATGATATTAAAAACAATCTTCACAAGCACATATTGATTGACCTTTTTTCTATTTTTCACCTTCGAGCGTATGATAAGAATGATCATTGCAGATATTGATATTTATGCAGCCTAGGACTGACATCATTTGAATGGAAATATAAAGCGCTATCGCGAGTTTCGTGATTGATTGAAATGTTTTAAATAGTATATCTCCTGAACGGATATCACAATGTATTTATTTTACCACTGCATTATTGAGGATGTTTCACCAAACATTGCATTTCATGAATTATGTAAAAAATTTGGTTTTCGTGCAGACAAAGTTTTGCAATTCAAATGACTATTTGTCTGCAATATTCAAAATTCTATTCGAAACATAAAATATTAAACACACGCTAAATTAGGGGAGATAAATAAGCAATTTTTGTATAGAGTTATCACGGATAAATGATATTTTGCATGAGGTTGTAGAAAATATTCTATAAGTGAACACCTCAATATGACCAAAGCGGGAACTTCCTTCTTTCGAATGGAAAAAGTATGCAAATCAGGCATGACTACCACGCTATGATATTATATATGGGATATATATATGATTTCATAAGTCTTACGTTATCACAGTAGCAATCCGATAACACATTATAAACTAAGAACAAATCAAAATATCGTTGTACGTCATTCAAAGTTTGAATTTCAAACTAATTCAGAAATCCTAATTAATCTTTCTTGTTTTGAGCAAATGATTCAAATATTTAATATGCATTATAGTCCTCACATTTGGAAATCGAAGAACGGAAAATTATTATATTATATTCAATATTATTATATTATTCTTCCGAGTAAAGATGTTCTGTGAGCTTTAATTTACAGATTCGATTTGAGCAATTGTTAAAATGAAACTGAATTAGAATAACACTTTCTATAAGTGGTTATTAATACGATTGACTCCAGCTGAAATTTATGATCCGAATTCAAGAGTATAGTAATTTTATGTAATTTTTTTTTTTTTTATAAATATGGAGAAATAACAGAAGAAATTATTTGTTGCGTAATTTTTTGTTAGATTTTGGTCTATTATGTTTCAAATGGGCGTTTTTGAAAAATCGAATTTCTGTTGTCGCCTGAGCAAACCTGATTCATGATATAGTTATATACGCAACCACTTGCTTCCTCACATATTATTAAACTTATTGTCCATCGTTATTGCCCATGCTTATTAAAATAAAAACGTGATATGATTAGGCAAAAGCTATTGTGTTTTATATACTATCCCAATAAATAGCATATTTCTAGTGTTGATATGTTGCAAATATGGCGGTATGATATCACGACCGTTTTATGTCATCTCTTGCTTGATTGACGAATTGAGTTATAGTTATGAAGAAACTGATATTCACGTGGGTAAGTGTTTAGACGGAAACTGCGTCACTCCGGTAAGTGTAGAGTTACCTGCAGTCGATTGTAATATTCGTATCTGTTGGCATTCAGTTGAGTCGAGGAATTGTGAGGTCGTTGCACCTAGGTATAATTTAATTGCTGTAAATCGTTTGCTTCTCTATATCTGCTAGCCTTTATTATATCCGCTGAAACTGAGTTAGAATAAAATTTCTCAAAATGAAACAAATTCCTGTAGTCAGTAACCAATTGCCAGATAAAGGAATTTCCATAAAAAGGCGTGACGAAAATCTGCTGAAGTGAGTTTCTTGGAATAATCATAATTATTTTTTACATGTCGTTATCGCTACAGCGAGATTTATGAAAACATTTATACAGAAAAAAGGTTATCTCATTTCGTATTCATCGATCTATCTGTTTTGAGAGCGACAAGGGACATTGTTCCTACAAAAATGTTTTATAACTGTCCAAGAAAGTACTCAGCGTTAATTCAACTTGACGTAAATTTGTATAGAACTGCTTTTGTTTGGGACTGGTCTTTGCCAAAACAATACCCATATATATATATATATTTATATATATTATACATTGGCAGGCTATTGTCCAATTTTGTGATATAATTAGATCTGTTTTTATATTGTTGACAAAATTACCATTAAGTAAATATTTTCTCTGTAAATTCGTCTCTGACTTTGCAAGGAATGGCTTTTTGACTTCGGAGTTAGTCTCAATTGAACAGCTGTCACCCAGTTACAATTGCTATATAGTTGAAATAGGTAAAAATATTCAATGATATTTTTTTGGATTCAAGAAGAAACATAACACAAGAATAACCCAAGCTAATGGATGGTTTAATCAATATTGAAATATTTTAAAAGTTTGTGTAATTTATACAGTTCGACATAGTACAGCGAAATGTTTGAAAATAATTCCTAATACAGCGTGAAATACCGAAATAAAAATGATTAGAATTACATGTTTCAAACTTAAAATGTTTCAACTCTTATTAATGGAAAATGGGAAATCCTAATCATTGTTTATTTCTTGTAATTATTTTGTAGATGAAAACGTGGTATTGGATGTATATTGTACATTACTTTTATATATATACTGTGCCTATATGAATAACACGCTTTTTTTAAATGAATAGAAAATTTTGTAATTTAAACTTTAGGAAGGCTTTTGCCCCAAGATTATCAACTTAGTGTAAATTCTTTTTCTTCGGCACAACACTGTGTAGGCTTGCACGTAATTGACAAAAATCAATTCCGTAATTACGGCCAAATCGATTACGTAATGACCCCGTAATTGCGATATTTTTTTCACACATTTAAACCTATCATAACAACCAATTTAATCCACTTCTATTCTGAATGGGACATCGAAGTTTGGTTTTCATATTCCCGGCAGTACTACACGCCGGCGACAGATGTTAAAGACAAATATCAAGGAGTGAATTTAAAATAATTTTATTCTGATTTTTATCTTTTGTATTAGCTTTGATTTTTTGTTATCCACTTTATCACCAAATTTTATGCGATTAATTGTATCATTACCAACACTGGTAATATATTTAAGAAACGATAGTTCACTTTTTTAAAATCGTATTAACGTATTAATACGACTTTCGTATTAAATAAATATTCCGGGTTGCTAATTTATTAATCAACTACAAGCGTATTCTCTCGTTTGATTATAGTTTCGCTTGCCTCGAGACGAAGACTTGTTATTTCATCGTTTTTTACAATATCCGACTTTACTACTTAGTTAGCATTTTATAATAATTATTGATGCCGACTTATTGACGATATTCCGAATTCCATGCTTCATTTTACATTAAATCATTTCGCGGCCTAAAAGTTATAACATTATTTGCGATAAATTTAGATCAAATATTAATTATTTGCGCATTATTTAAAATACCGTACTTATACGACATGCCTTCTCCGAAAATACAAAGTTATATCGCAAAACAATGCATTTTGTAACATTTATTTTGCACTCATGAAAATATTAATTTATTTTTCTAACTCAAGTCGACAATCCTATTTGCCAAGATTGACACAAGTTTGGTCGAGTGCCGGTGGTATTCGAGTCGACGATAAATCAAAATAAGTTGCCGCATTTGGTAAAGACAGGGAATCCTATTTGGCCGACATATTGCGAGGCATTGTGAAAAACATATTGAGCAAGGCCAAGTCCGGACAGATACATAACGATAAAATCGGTAACAGAACATCAAGATTTTGTAATAGAAAATGGATCTCGCGCAGAATAAACACGGGAAATCCCGTCGTATTGTTGTTTCTCTGTCGTCTCAATCGCTTTACCGATGCCGAAAAGACTAAGTTGCGTTGGTTCATTACGCAATTTCTCTTCCGTCTTTATATTGCTGTTTGATAAGAGCGACATTAATTATCGCGGCATTTACAAATAGACCATCTCTTACATTCTTTAGTCATTTCACCCTAAGAAGTTGAAACCAGATGTGTTGACGTCCATCGGTCTCAACACAATTTTATTCCTTATCTACGGTTAATATGTACATTGGCCATCCTAGATAAGTTGATATTAGGTTAGTAAATGACGCGTTATGCCTTCCCCATCTTCCTAACAAGAGAGAGAAAAACGGCTGCGAATACCGGAACTCTAACTTTAATTTTTTACAATCGACGGAATTGACTGCTCTGAAGAGAGCTCGTTTCAATCGCGAATACGCTCGACCAATAATTACGACTTTACGTAATTCGTAACTTCACTTCCGTAACTCGAAATAATTCCGTAATTCCGTAAATCCGTAAATTACGTGTCACTGTGTCTAGTCGCTACATTTTTGTTTTATTCAAATTTATTCTTATTAGGTTGTTTTCCAATATTAAGCATCGTACGCTTTGTATAGCATGTATTAATGCATTATTGTGAATCGGGTATTTTTAATTCGTGATCTTACTCACTCTCCATATTGACTATAGAAATATCCTGAGCCGTGATGCGTCAATGTTCCACGGTCCGTTCAACGAAACAGAAATTCTTGCTGGTGACTGCATTTGACCTAGCAAGGTGCAACAAAAGCTTACGATTGGAAGCGACCAAATTCGAAAATACAGGTCGAATCGTCTTTTACCCGATTACTACCCGACAACTCACGACACGAAATAGGGCCAGGAAATTATGCCGAAAATAAACAATATGACTTTAGTATTAGCTACACAAATACTGTTGAACTGCACAAGAAAGCAGACAAAAATAAAATATGCTTTTTCAATGCTCTACGGACGTCGCATATCGATATACAGTGAGAGCCAACTTTTCTGAAAAAAATGAGCCGATAAAGGTGATGCAATAATGAGGTGTTCGCATTTAATTTAAAATAAAAATAAGTTGAATGCAATATCGGGGCTATTACAATTCAGGATAATTTTAAAAAAATAATGGAAGTATTAGCCTTCTAGAAACTGCTTCACATTTGAGTAATAATGAATTGTCGATTCGTCCATTCGTTGCCGTGAAATACAATTTTCCCCCAACCTTAATCATGAGAAGAAGGCGAACATTAATTTAGTGAAACGATTCATAGACCCATTCGTGCCCTATAACCGAGATGTCACCTGATACTAAATAAAAATTAGACATGTAAAAAGAAAAACAATTGGATTTGATATAGGGTAAGTAATATAAGTGTCATGCACGGTGTCTTTCAATAGCTATTTTAAGAAGCTTTCAAAATGCATCTACCCAATAGCATTTCATTTTATAATCTCCGTCGGTTACCTAGTTTGATAAATTTGTAGATGTCATCATGATTTATGAATTGTTGTCTACACGACTTACCAAAAACGCAAATTCAAATCATGGAAACTAGAAATAAAAACTCAGTTACTGTCACTTGATTTATTTTTTTCTAATAATTTAATAGACCATGCATTGATGTGCTAGAAAATAAAGTGTGTTAAGAGGAATGATGTGTTTAGTTGAAAGATGAATCATCCTATACTCCGCTTCCTTGTATATCTGAATTATTCAATTTTCTCAGACATGAGTTATCATACCTGCAAATTATTCACTTGTTTTCCTGTTGAAAACTACCTTGAATATATTTTTGCTTGAATATATATTTAACTTTGCTGCTGCGGATCACTATTTCAAAAAGAAAATTAGCGTTTGTTGTATTTTTCCATATTAGGTTTAAATGACGACCCTTTTCGTCATCTTTATATCATTTATAATATGCGTTATATATATATGTGAAATGGAAAGTTATTTCGTTGCCGATTTGCATCACCGTAATTTGCACATTTTTATGGATCATCAAAATTTATAATAGAAAAAATAGGATTTGCCAGTCCTAAACAAATTTATTGCTGAGTTGTCTGTGGTATTTTCCTTTGTTCAATTTTTTACAACGCCAGGTGCAATATGAGTTGTAAATCTTTGTGCAAATAAATCTTCACAGAGATTGATAACATGTGGGTTACAAAACTCTTTCAGTTCAATTTTGCCTGATTCGTGCGGTTACATTTGCATTAATATTTATTTTACCGCAAAATTCGGCTTAGACATCACACATCCCAAATGTTCGGAATTTGGGTCAAAACATGGGTAGAGTAAAGTACGAATTTTCTACAATATTTATAACATAGTTACGTTTATGCATAGTACGAGTTCTGATATATCTCTTTATTACTCCCGCGATGACATTTTTATATGCTATTGCTTATGAAATCTCTATGAGGAAGTAGATACGAATAAAATAAGTGCTCATCTTTAAAAACGTTGTTGTTCAATATATGACGCAAATTGAAGGCGTGAATATTGCGCAAATGGGTCTTAGTTATCTTGAACGTTCGTACAGGGCTACGTCATTAATGTTCATATTTCTAAAAAAAATATAGTACGATGATCAATTATTTCATATCAGTTCAGCAGAGTAGGAGGCATTCGTTGTTTTGCGATTATTGAAATTTATTTTGATACTATAACTAATTTCTCGGTATCGCTTGACGTTAAACTGTAAATCTGATGTATGATTTATTTCATGTTATGAAGTAAAATTTACTTGTAGTTCATGGAAGAGATGGAAAGAAGTATTAAGCTTTAAACTTTAAAACTAATTTGTTTGAAATATATTGAATAGGAAAAATACCTTATTTTCTTCGCGGTTTGTAAGAATGCTTGTGATAGGACAAAGCATAAGTTACAAAATTATATTTCAATAAAACCCACTATACAAGTTCTTTTACATATAATTTGTGTATTTTGAATGGACCTGGACCTACGCATTGCTTTAAAAATAAAGTTAAATGATTAACGCATTAGCAATAAAGCATATTTAGTGTCACAAAACCAAAAAGTGAAATCTTAATTTTAGCCGTTTGTAGGTACATCTAATATTTATTTAAAGTTAATAAAAGATATCTGTTGAAAAGTCGATTGAACTTTTCTTATCTGTTTTAAATGCGAGCTTTTGAAGTCATTGTTGGATAAAAGTATTCATTTTATACATTCTCACGTCATCAGATTTCTCAATAAATATCCGAAGTTGTAAAGTATTTTATCTGCAATCCAATTATCTGTTCACTGATTTAATGTATTGGTCCATATGAGTTATATTATCGCAAAATATATTGATTTATTCTCGGTATTTAAATGTCCTTTCGTACGTCTATTGTTAAAGGCGAAATTAAATTTCTATATAAACGACATTACATTTAAAAAAAAATATTTTTATTTAAATATTGATTTTATTGTAGAATATCATTGAATAAATCACAAGATTCAGAACTGGAATAGCTATGAATGCAATAGTTCGAATATCGGGTTTATACTGTATGAATAGTAGTTGTAAGCACGTCACTGTGAGGTATTTCTTCTTATAGAGTTTGTATATATTCGATTGTATTTTCCAACGATAAGCACATTCATATATAATATATACAAGCATAGGCATATATATTTTGGGGTTCATGTTATCAAGTTGAAGTTATAGAAAATCGTTTGAATAGTTTACGAAGGTTTCGCATGCGGTAACATCGAGATGAAATTATTTAAGGCAAAGGGGCGAGTGAAATCCGCGAAAAATAAAATTAGCAGCTATTTGATGCATGTTGAATTTTACTAACTATATCTACCTTTCTTGTTATATGACAGCATAACGAATTTAAAATATGAACGGATAACTTTAACGGATAACAGAATTGATATGACATTTTTTGACTTTATCATTTTCCTTTTTCTGATTAATCTCGTTCAAGGGCAAACTCCAAGCGGTGAGTAATATGCATTTTATTCATTTGAAATTTAACCAAGTTCATACTGTCCATCTCATGATTGACTTTGCCACTATTAGTAATATGAAGTGGTCTTGCAGTAGAGTACATGCAACGAATATTGACGTCAATTACGCCGAAGTTAGAGACGTTCAAAGCTAGCTTCCTTCTCACACGCTTTTTTATGTACTATCTCAGATACTATTTTAAAATTTACTACGTTGAGAAAGTTTTATTAGAAAAATGGGGCTCGACAAAGAAAAAGTTTTGAATGCAGTCTAGTGCAATGATAATGGTTTTTTTAAATGAGCTTGGATTTCTCAAATGGGCAAATCATAAATATTTGTTTATTTCTTTATTATATCTTCTACATCTTTATAGCAATAGCTATAAATAAACATTATTTTGTGTGATAGAAATATCGCCTTGATATTCGTAATTCAAACTATCGTTACGTTAACACACAGTTGTCATAGATAGATATTTTTCTCAATCTGATTTTCTCTCTTTATTCAAACAAAACCAATATTTGGAAAACAATTTCATTTGTGATAAATTTTAAATACAATGGTTGCTACATGTTCAGGTACATCAAATTTTCGAAACTACAGATTAGAAGTATTTCAAGGTGGAAAGGGATATGATGATGCTAAGGCTGTATGTGAAGGAAGAAATGCATGGCTTGTTGAGATTAAAGATGAAGAAACTCAAGCTGCAGTGAGACAGTTAACAACGTAAGCATATATTAATGAGTATTTTAATTTACATATGATAGATTGATAATTTGATACGCAGTGTGACATTCCGAAACATCAAATAGATATCATGATGCCTGTCGCATATATATTCAAAAATCTAAAATCTTGAAACTTTATTTTTAAATAGATACAAATGCTTGTCTCTGCAAAAGTTTAGAGTTTTATATATTAGTCTTGTACAAGCTTTTCCAGTCGTAAAATCAAAACTGATATTAATTCCTTCTTTCAAAAATATCTTATATGAACTCTATGATGATATATTAAACATGCATAAACCGAAACTTATTCTACTGTCAATACTTTTCTGGTTTCCCAGTTAAAATAAAAATGCTTGGGAGATAGAGATATAAAATCCTAACAAACAAAATATTTCCAGCCACATTATTTGGATCGGTTTGCATTATGACAGTGGATGGAAATGGAACAACATGGATTCATTGAAATATACCAATTGGTGAGTTAATTAATTCAATTAATATTTTTGTGTTTTTTTGTTTTGTTTTTGTGCACGTACCACAAATACACAAATACTTTTTCTTGAACAAATATTTTAAATCAATTTTTGAACGCCATCTGCACATAGTAATATTTAGAAAAAATGAAATGATAACTTAAAAACAATGTAATCGGAAATATAATACGTATATATTCGTTTTATTTACATATATCATAATTGTTAAAAAAAAATTTGATTGGTCGTTTAGTGCAGTTTTAAAATGCTGGGCGGTTGCAAGTTTTTCAATATCTCTAAACTATTTTCTAAATGTCAGGGCGGATTCCAGTTGTAAATATTTGCTTTGTTCCTACGAAACGTTGAGAAAATTTAATTAGTATCGACAGTGATTTTATGTGTCTCTATCAAGTTAATATTCTTCGACATCCACACTCCTTTTAATAAAACAGTAAAGGTGCTGCTGCTGTTGTAAATTTTAATTTTAAACTAGTGACCCTCGATGAATCTTTTTTTGGGAAATAGAAAACTAGAACTTTCAAAATATTTTTCTTCGATGATAATGTATTGGCATATAAAAGTACTTTAGCAATGCTCAGAAATTTTCACGTAAATATATCTTTAGTTAGCTTTTGTGAGAAGTTTTACCAAAGAATTCTAGTTAATTTGTTTTTTTGAATATCAAAATAACGCAAACTAATCTGTTTTCCTTAATATTTTTTTCAAAATCTGTGACACAAGGAAGCAGAGAATGTGTTGAAATATTTTTTCTTGAAATTTTAAACTAGATACATCAATCAAAGAAAAAACTTTGTGTGCGAGTGATACGATGAAAATTTTCATTGAGCAAAATTAAAACTTCGTCAAGTTTTTCTATATTTTCCGGCAGGGCCACTGATAATCCCCGAACTGTTGACATCAAATGGAATAACTACTGTGGAGCATCTAGAACTTCCGATGGAAAATGGTATAACAGTGACTGCATTCCCGGTTTGCGGTATGTTTGTCAATCAGGTGAGTTAAATTTATCAGTCCTTTCATGTATTACGCATGTTCTTTGTCGAATAAAATGCCCCATTAAAACTATTTAAACACTTGCAAATGTGAAGCAATCGAAAATATATTTGAATATTGAAATATAGAACATAATAACATTAATTCGGCTCTGAATGTTTCCCTCAGAGCGTCCGCTCCTTGGTCGTCCTGATCTTTGTGCATCAACTACAGATCCAGTTTCCATAACTTTACGATGAATCGCAAAACTTGTTTGTGGTGTAGGAGCCAAATTCATTCCAAATTCTCTGTTGAAGAGCCACTGAGTTTGCCTTACTAATTTATATGCTTCTTGCCAAACAGCAATTTTGCACCACATTTCTTAGGTTAACCTCCTTGCAATTCTGTGGGTTGATGTAAACAATACCTAAATTTTACTACTTATCCATACTATATTTTCTGAATAAATGAACGCTCTATGATGATTACCTAAAAAGCAAATCAAAATTGAAAGTGTATTCTTACTTTTGAGACACCCTTTGTATATATTAGAAATAGTTGAATTGAATGGAGGGTTTCCTTTCACATTCTTACACTGGATTTGTAAAGGAGATTTTGAAAGTGAACTTCCGTTGTCATGTTACTGAAAACTGATGTGCGTAGGTACACCACTGAGCACATTGTTGAGTAATTTAAAACTCATATATATGATTAAGTCGATTCAACGCGAACATCAGTTTATTTTAATTAATTGGTCACAATATTGGAAAAGAATTTTAGGTTAACCTGTCATATATTTTTAATGCGAAACAATAATGTATCGTGTTTTGTGGATCATAATACAAATTTCTTATGATTAAATTAAGAATATCTGCTACAACGTTGAAACAATCTAACTGAATGGGTCTATAAAAACCTGCACAACAATAAAAGAAAATTGGTGTATAGTCAAAGCACACAATTTCCTAATACATTCTGATTTTTTTTTATATAAAATTATGTATAACGAGTATTGCTTTTTAGCCAAAATTTCTTGTTATTTTTAGATTTGACTTGGACCCTTCATAACAGTAAATTGGCTTTAACAATAATTAGTAGCCCGAAGAAATCATTTGCTGATGCGAGATCAGCTTGCACTGCAATTGAAAAAAGCTTAGTTTCCATTACACCTAATGCATTAGATTCATTCTTGACGACAAAACTATCTCAGAAGTAAGTATTGTTTTAGGGGTAATTATTATTAGTTATCGAACTCACTTCATTCTGACAATGTAAAAACGTGGTTAAAGTCATCGAAAATGCCATTCAACAACAATAACAAAATATTTCTGAGGTTTGCTTTGTAGTTCAGCATACAGTCTATGAAGTAATAATGCGCGAATTGACAATCGCTATCTAATTAGAGTGTGAGTGTATGTTTAATTTTTAGTGGTACGATGAATTACTGGACAAGTGGAAGTGATTCAGAGACAGAAGGCATTTGGAAATGGGGAGATGGAACAACTTTTAGTAAAACTGATCCAAATTGGTGATATATGTATATATATTTATTATAATATATTTATATTATTAAACTTCAAGACATTTGCTTCTATTGTCTGCTACTTTTGCTTAACCGGTCGAGCGGTGAGCTGAAATTATTTTCAATAAACTATTACCTCGGCTATAAATGTCAAAAGCGTCCTACAATATATCACAATACGTCGAGAATTCTGATCACAAGCATTGCGCGCAGTTACAAGGCGTTCCTCGTATCATTGGATTTTGAGTGTCACCTGTTTACTGTATAATTTATAATGACCAGCTGAACACATTGATGTCGTCAAATATATTTGGTTTACTTTCCCCATGAATGTGCATGTTCAGCTCAAAGTGTACCTCGTATTTTATAAAATGTAAATTATATATAGATAATATCAATATCTCTGTATTTTATCATTTCGAAAAAATTATTGCATCAGGATTTGCGCTTTTTTAAAACAAATTGTCACAGAATAGCCCTATTGCAAACCGAAGTTTCATTAGGAATGACGCTCATTCAACTTCGATGTCATATAAATTAGACCTTGGAATAAATAGAGTAAATTTTATTAAAATTTTTCATTATGCGAGTCTAGGAAGAAGTGGATATTTGAGAGAGGTGAGCCAAATGGGGGAACAAATGAAAACTGTTTGATAAAATATGCCAATGCAAAATATAAATGGGTTGATATGAGTTGTACAGCAAAAGCTGGTTATATCTGTCAGAAGGGTGAGTATTCAATTGTAGTGCCCAAATTGAAGTCAATTTGAATAATCCACAGTTTTATTAAACATATTCAAAATGTTAAGCAAATTATCACAATTCTATACTGCCGATACAAAAATTGAATTTTATTTTGATCTCATACATCCAACTAAATGAAATAGTGGAATGAAAAACCGCTATTAAAATTAAACATAAACCTCCCATTTATTTATGTAATATAGTTGCATTTGTTAATTGTCAATAATTTGATAGTTATATTTTCGGGACAGCTGAATATGTTTCATAGAATATACAATTTATATTTCCATATGAATTTTTGCGACTCCCTACTAAATATTCAAGCATTGAATATTTACAATCCTGCGATCTTGTATAAGTAAAGGTGAACATTGTGAATGCAAAAAGTATGCGTTATTTGGTGAAGGATGAATTATTACTCATATATTTCATTTTTATATTCTTTCTCAGACGTGAAATCTGGTAACTGTGGTAGTGATGTGTGCTTAAAAAATGGAAGCTGCAAGATTAAGAATTCACGGTATACATGCACATGTAATGCGGGTTATTTCGGAACAAAATGCGAAAAAGGCAAGATTTAATGTGAATAAATGAATTTTTGTTTTATCCTAATATCATATCAACAATTCGTTTAGGGCAATATTTCAACTATAAGATTGCTGAGATACTTTAATATACTGAGATTCAAAAAAAATTGAAGTGGCCTGATTTATTTAACAAATAAAGAGATATTTTGCATGCATGTGTAAATTATCGTTTGACATTAATATATATATTTATTTAATGAGAATAATTAGGCAAACGAATTTTTCTTCAGTTATGGCTAAGAATTTATCCTAGTATTTAATGTATGGTGTATATATTAATATGACATTTTGAAAATAACATCACGAGTTCACAGTAAGTTAGTGGCTGAAACGGGCGGGGTAAATGGTGTTGATAAATATTAATAAATGTCTAATGTTAATTAAAAGCCAATCATAATTAAAAAAAAATAAAATAGGGTGACTGCGTAAATATTTTGAAGCAGACGTTTCACAAACAACATTTTTTAAATTGTACAGCTATCTAAATCAAATAATTACGTATTTTAAATAAATCGCCATGTTCGTACATTACTTTTTCTTATTCATGAACTTAAATTCTTTTATATGATGATTAAATAATCAGATGTTTGTAACAATAATAATGTAATGCAACATTGTTTTATTGATACTACTTGCTCTGTTCTAAGTTCGCAAGTTGAGAAAAGACTCAGTGAGTATTGCACACAAGATTTAATACAGCATAACATAAGACTTCAACTATAACGGTAAGACAAAACAAAGCAGAACCGACCGTACGCCAGATAAACATTCGACAAGTACCCGTGCGAATCGCGTACGAGTCCGGCAGTTGATTACTTTTTCAGGACTTCTCGTCACACGTAAACCAAGGCCAGACGCGTATACAACACTACTCATATTAACTATTAACATTTACACTTGAATTTTGCGATTGCATGCTTTATTTATTTAAACGTATATACTTATTGTAATCGTTAAGATTTCAAGTGTGTAACGTGTGAATAACATTTACATACTAATAAGATAATTTTATAACTAATATTCGTTCGGACTGAAGAAATTTCTGTATTTACCTTCATGCCTAATATTCTGTTGGTTGAAATATACTAAAATGATCTGATTTATTAACAAATAAATACTTGTTACATACTGGTCGTATGTTCATAAAAAAAAGAACATTTGTGCATTTGGAAGCCCCCGTGCAAGGGTATGTTGTCATCAAAATTGTCAACTTGAGTGTTGAATTTGGAAATTCTGTAAATACAATTGTGAATTTCTGGCAAATATTGTAGCTATAATGAAGGTGATAGTATTGTTCTGTTGAAAATAACACAAGAAACCGTTTGAATTTAATTCTCAACCCTAAACTAGGAGATAGAAAGAACTCTCAAATTCAAGGTTGTTTTTAATATTTTTTGGATATTATGTAGCATTGAATATTTTTCAAGAAGCTGGTTTTACAGTTATTTTGCTAAATAGAACCTAGAATACCCTTGTAAAAATGCATGAGTGTATAGCTTTTGTTAGGGCCTAATCGTAGAAGAAAAATGACCTCAAGAAAGCGGCTTCTGGAGAACTAGACATGAGGTCTCTCGTTTTATATTCGGTGTAAGCAATGAGCATATATACAATGAGTGGAAACTTCCAAATATTTGCTCATTAATCCATTGTGCCCTGCATTTTTACGTCGTCCAGCTAAATGGTTCGTTGCATATGGAGAAAGCATATCGTTCGCTGCATAAATCCCTAGGCTGGGTGCGAAATTGGCCGTATTGAGGCTTTTAATTTTTCGATTCGTGTTCGGTTTTGGGTTTCGAAGTATGGTACGTTGAAAGCATACTAACTAGGAGTTAGGCATATTGGGAATGCATATCTATTAGGCAGAAAACGTAGCTACGTTGACCGCCTCGTGGCCCATCGTTGTCACGCGTTTTTATTTTTAGAAAATTTGCTTCTGCTTGGGACCAACATTGTCAGGCATAATCCTACGCGCACAAATGTGTTCCCTGGGTTTCCAACTCACTACTGATTTTCTCGAGCAATATTTAATATGAAAATGTTCTATAAATTCTCCATGCTACAAGCTCAACAAGAAGCAATATATTTATAATAATGATAAGAGAATATAGAATTGAATACGAAAATTCGGAAAATTTGTTTTTACGTGTAGAAGGTAATTTAATTGGAGAATGCTGGTTAACTACTCAGTTGTCTGGACACTCGCGATGCCGGTACCGTCTTACCAAATACCGGTAGTCGGTTATAGGCGCTTTGCGTCTGACCGTACCGGTAGCCATGCAATCACTCATGAAAGAATGGGAGATACGGATAGTCTCGTAGAATATAGACTACTGAAACACTCTCTGCGCCTGCCCCATACCGTACAGCCGTAACGTACCGATCCAGACAAATGATAAATCGCCCGTGCTCAACCATTTATTTCAATCCATACCTCGATCCTAGTAGAATATAGTGAGTCGAGGTATGGATTGAAATAAATGGTTGAGCACGGGCGATTCATCATTTGTCTGGATCGGTACGTTACGGCTGTACGGTATGAAGCAGGCGCAGAGAGTGTTTCAGTAGTTTATATTCTACGAGACTATCCGTATCTCCCATTCTTTCATGAGTGATTGCATGGGTACTGGTACGGTCAGACGGTACCGTAACGGCATCGCACGAGTGTCCAGACAACTGAGCAGTTAAGCAGAATTTTCCAATTAAATTACCTTCTACACGTAAAAACAAATTTTCATATTCAATTCTATATTCTCTTATCATTATTATAATTATATTGCTTGTGGTTGAAATTGTAGCATGGAGAATTTATAGAACATTTCCATGTTGAATTTATTGGATATTGCTAATAAAAGTCAGTAGTGAGTTAGAAACCCACATTTGTGCGTGTAGGATTAAGCCTGACAACGTTGGTCCCAAGCAGCATCAAATTTTCTAAAAATAAAAACGCATGACAACGATGGGCCACGAGGCGGACCATCTTTGTCAACCTTTTTATTTTCTTTTTATCCAATTTTTTTTATTTTTTTTTTTTTTTCGTTTTTTATTTTTTTTATTTTTAATTTTTTTTTTCACTTCTTTTTTTTCAATTATTTTTATGTTTTTTCACAACTATTTTTTTATTTTCGCTTTTTCATTTTATTTTTTCATTTTTTTTTAAATTTTACGCGTGACAACGATGGGCCACCATACAGGTGCCACTTCAAAAAGAAACCGCCGACTAAAACGGTTGGGAAAAAAAGATTTATGAGCAGGGTTGCCAGACCCCAGCGATCAAAAAAAGCTGAATCAAGACATAAAAAAGCCAGAAAAAGCCAACAATTTTACTAAGTACAAAAGCCCCATGATTTGTCAGATTTTAAGCCCTTGGCAACGTACTGATGATGATGTAGAGCCATCAGTTCATTCAGTGAGGCACACAAATAGAAAGTAAAGTTCCTATAGAACTGTAAAAAGTAAAATAAATATCGAGCGGGTAGCATTATTTTACCATTCAATATATAAAATACAGGGTGCTTCTTCAGTCTGTCAGTATGTAATATACCTACAATATGTTTCTACTTAAATTGGTGCTACATCTTAAAAAATTCTTCCTATATTGTACTTTACTATTAAAAAAATTTTCAGTTTCAAAATTTATGAACCATCAATTTTATTGAAATTTATTTAACCCCCTGCCGCTCACAGGTGGACCACTGATATCTAATTCAGTAATTTTAGCGTAGTTATTCACATCGTTACTGCAATTGCAGAATTAAACTAAAGCTGAAAGCTCACATACCGTAAAGCATATCAGGCATAATGTAAATTGAGTTATACTATAAACTATTTTTTGGAGACAGAACGTAAACTGACAACCAACATGCAAAGCTATAGACACTAGAAAACTATAGACACTAGAATAAACTTGAAAGAAGCCAAAAAAAACGCCAAAAAGCCAAACGGAAATTCTGACGACAAACGCGTTTGAAAAAAAAAAAAAATTTCCAAAATTTGGCGTTAAAAAAGCCAATATGGCAACCCTGTTTATGAGCGTTAGGTTTGCCGATTGGTCAAAACGAGAGAAATGAACGAGCCGCAAATCAGAGTGGGGGAAAAAATGATTTAGGAACATTCAGTTTTGCCGATAGGGCAAAACGAAAATGTCGGACGCCAGACTGGACGACAACAATTAAACTATCGATTTAAAGTGCCGTTCTTATCACTTATATACACTGGTTATTAAAGTAGATGCTGTTACCCTTTGTTAGACAGGATAGTCCATTCCGTGGGTGTGATTCTACTGCAACAAGCATGATCTGGTTATAACAGACTTTGTCAAATAAAATTATTAGAAATAAGAGGGAAACATGTGATAAGTATTCGGCAATTGCATGTAAATATCGATCAGGATTTTTTGACATTTTTCAATAATCTATACCAACGTATAATACGCACCCTCTAATTTTGGAGATGGAATCCGCAACTAGAAGTGCGTATTATACACGGAGAAATACGGTAATTTAAAATAGGGGAGCCCTGGGGATTCGTATGGAGCACCTTATAAACTATGATTGTGAGAAGCCGTGGTTCGCCATACGTTTAGGCCTTCTTATCGCCATTGCTTTCCCCTGGATAAATATGTACCTAAATCCCATGCTATAATTAGAAATAACCGCACTTGACTTCATATTCTGTGCTATAGCTACGTTTCCTGCCTAATATATATACATTCCCGATAAGCATATGCTCATAGTTAGTATACTTTCAACGTACCATACTTTGAAACCCAAAACCGAACACGAATCGAAAAATTAAAAGCCTCAAGCCAATTTCGCACCAGGCGCGGGCGAAGCAAAGGAATTTTGCAGCAAACGATATGCTTTCTCCATATGCAACGAACCATTTAGCTGGACGACGTAAAAAATGCAGGGCACATGGATTAATGAGCAAATATTTGGAAGTTTCCACTCATTGTATATATGCTCATTGGTGCAAGGTATACTATTTTGTATTTGTTATAATCAATTTATCTCCTACAATTAAATATACGTTGTCGGTTTACTTTGACGCGATTTACCATAATATACGGTATGTGCTGCGACGTTCAGTTTTGTAACAATAAACTTGCCATTGCAAATGTAGATGTTACTGTTGTAGGTAGTATGTGGGTCTTACGATAAATGTGGTCACCAGAGCATAAATTTACTTTATTCTGTAGTTTTGCTCCGATTGCGTCTTGTTTGTTGCGCAGCATGAAAAAGTTCAGTTTAATTAGTTTTTTTGCAGTACATTTGATAATATAAAAGGAAATCTTAATATTTTGATACGATCCTAAAAAAATGAATTTTGGCATTCTGCTAATGTTCAATGTCTTTCTCTGAAATAACCGAAGTCTCATTCTGCTGTGTCTATGTGGTAAAGTTGGGTGTCGACAGTAGAGTATTCTTTATTTAACGCATAGATAAGATGCTGTGACCAGTCAACTCCTTCGGTGGGAATAGTTAGTCAAGAAATCTTTCCAACTGTATGAGAGTAAATAGTTTAGCGTTACCGATAGCGAAAGATTACAGAAACAACAAGAGGATGATGATAGATTCGGGTTTTATACTCATCCATATATTTATTCATCCCGAGGCAAGGAATATCGGTATTCATATATATATATGATGAACCTAGCTCTTTGACCGGCTTGAATGTTCGGCTCGAGTATTGGTGTATTCTAGTTTAAATTGAAACTGCAGTTCGTGTCTTTCCCTTGTTATTCTGCTCCACCATCTACGTTCATACATTTGGAACGATTATCTGTTCTGAAATTTATAAGAAAAGGATACGCGAAGGGCTACAGTGACATTTCTTTTAATGGCAATCGCATATCGGCAAAATACCAAAATTCCTCCGATCAACCATCTACATGAAAATAGTACGCATTCCAATCTTTAAAAATCGATTTACAAAATTTACCTGCTTTTTATATCATCCCCGAAGTATGAACTGGAACTATGTCATGCTCCCAGACGAACAAGTAGAAATCTAAAAAAAGTAGGTAAAATGCAAAAAAAAATTCGGGAGTATCTTGTCCCACAAGATATTATGTTAAATATGGTTTGTTTATGTCACTCTATATATTTCCGCGTGGAATGGATTTGACATAACATGTTTGTTTTTCACAGTATAGATAATGTAAAATGTAATTTATTATATTTATAAGTCAAAACTAAAATGTGGTTCGTATTGTTTTGGATTTCGTTGTTCATCCCCGCTCAAGGACAAACCTCAAAGAGTAAGTAGACATTTTTTCTTTTTCTGATCTTTACATGTAATACATTTTTCGTTACAGATATTACTCAGTGATAATTTGTTCATAATAGAGTACACTAATATTAAATTATACGTTACGACTGGGGTCGGCAACCGATGGCACGCCAAGTGATTTGAAGCGCACGCGGAATCCGTAGATAAAGCCTTTTTACAACAAAAAAATTATGCAATAAATTTCCTGTTCTCCAGTATCGTTGTGATCACATTATGTCTGGCTACAAAACTACTGAACTACTGAAGTAGGGCAAAGATAGGTCAAAGGCAGAGAAAATGTATGCCGGATCTCTCGTAGGCTAATTTCCACACGCGTCGGATCATCGTTAGCGTTGTAGGCTATCACAAGTGCTGATATCAAATTGTGTTGGTAAAATAGTTTCCTGATGAGGGATCAATGTTTATGAATAGTTTTTAATACATTGTTTGTCTTTGCATTGGTATTTGGTAGCGTAATTTTTTTTTTTATCCGTTCTGCTAAAACAGAAATTAGAGGGCGTCTCAAAAATGTCGGGTCCCGAGTGTTCCACTTGTTCCAGTATTTCGTTTAGTTTTATCATAAATCATGAGCATGATACGGTGTGGTGAAATGCTATAAGTTTGCGCAAAATAATAGTTAACAAACAAAATTGATCTTTAATCAATATCGAACTTTAAAATTTATTTGCGTTATACAGTTGCATTGGACCTCAAAGTTGAGTAATAGGAGCGTTTTTGAAAGGCGGCGCGCAAATAAATTTAGATTCAAACTGAATACCCTCTGTGTTCGAAAGGTTGCCAATCCCTGCGTTACGATATTGTATAAAACAGTACAAAGAATTAACTTGGTACATATATATTAAATAGGTATTGAGTAGTAACGACAGATACATACAGTACTAAATTCTTTCAATTATATGCAGTTCGTGAAAAGTTGTGTTGCTCATACCAATTTAAAAATATTGATTTGAAATTGTTGGATGATCTCGTATGACTTGTAAACTTGTGTCTTCAACACGAAAAAAATCATTGTTATTCAGATACATTAGATTTCCGAAACTATAGATTAGAACTATTTGATTCTGGAAAAGAATATGATGCTGCCAAGACTGTATGTGAAGGAAGAAATGCATGGCTTGTTGAAATAAAAGATGAAGAAACTCAAGCTGCAGTGAAACAAATTGCTGAGTGAGTTTATTCACATTTATCGTATGTTACTTGGGCACAAATAGGCAAAAATGAACAACGTCGCATTCAATATCGCAAACATTGCGTTTGGCACAATATATATATAGTGTTTCTTGTTTTATTTGGAATGTGTCCCTTTTCAATCTACATTATGAACCAGCTGTTAGATTCTAATTAAATTTTTATTATGGAGAAAAATAATAAAAAAGATATAAGTTGATCCTTAAACATTGGTACAATACCCTCTCCGTGGTCGTATGTTTGTGTATGACTATCTTGTTTTAAGCTCTTGTTATGTTTGAAGTTATGGCTGGGGATTTTACCGACAGGGCTTTGACCGTTTATTAGTCAAAATTTACCGGTTAATCTAGGCTGATGTCTATGACAAAGCATGACAAGGCATTGCCACAATTACTTCATGGAAATGGTAGAGTAGAGTTTTTACGTTATGATTCTATAATATTTTTGCATAAAGTTTCCTGACGTTGCTGTAAATTGTCCACGGAGAAAAATAGCAAGAGTAACCAGTCGCTCTGTTTGGTAATCTTTTTTAAGAGAGGCAAACTACTTAGAATACTTACAAATAATTCGATTAGACCAATTTAAAAATCATATACTATACGGTATGTTACTTATGTGATAAACTTTTAATTATGGGGCGGCGATTTAATTATGGGGCGGCGAAATTATGTATATATAGCTTGCGGACCTACATCTCCGTGACATGAATTTGTTTATATTCTTTTGACAAAATTTGCGTTTATTAAAAAAATTTCAAATTTCATTGGCAGTTATTTGTATTTATTAGCAGAACAATTTTGATTCATTTTTAAACTATATTTCAACTGAGAATAGTGCTTTTCCTGATTCCGACGTCGGGATTTCACGGAATTTCATTATTGTTGTATCTATAAACGTCAAGGCGGTGGCCATATGGAAATGACGTCCTTTGATCGGTGAAAGGAGAATTTCAAGTGTTTGCAATGTGACAGGCGTGACAAACCGCAGAGCTGACTTAGCGCCGTGCGATCAAAACCAAACACTAGAAAATATCACCAAAATACCACGACATTTCTCGGGAAGAAATTTTCAAGTAACCAAAAGCCTCATATAGTTTTCTATAAAAACTGATTACAACGATAAACTCTCATACCTAAATATTTTTAAAGTGTGTAAACTCGCGATGCGCGATCACTTTCGCATTTTCTCCTACTGCGGCCCGCGGGATCACAAAAGTTTTTGCATCCCTTCAACATCGCGAACTTGGACCACTCTGTTATACAATATAAAAGCTGCTATTGTTTACTAAAAATACAATTTGTTGCAGTTTTATTCACAGTTGCAAAGGACTTCGACTGATTACTTTGCAAACTATTCTGTTCAAATATATATATATATATATATATATACAAATTTAACCTTCAGAAATTGAAATATTTTGTTTTATTCTTTTAGAAATATCATTTGGATTGGTTTACATCATAGCAGCGGTTGGAAATGGAACAATATCCGTGAATTACACTATAATAACTGGTTCGTCTGATTCATTTATCTTCTTGTAATAGTATCTCATTTTATATCGAATTGATGAGAATATCGATGTTTAACAAGCATCAAAATTTTAACAATTAGATTATCTATAAAATTTAAAAAAATATGAGTGTAAATTTATATGTATTCAAGCAGGGTAATCGGATCCCTCCAGAACTGCGTCTGGTACATTGAATAACTTCTGGGTGAAATATTATTAATATTACTATGCATTTGATTAGGGAACCCGGGCGTCCCAGAACTGTCAGAGAGGATTGGAAAAACTATTGTGCAGCTTTCAAGTCATCTGATGGAAAATGGATTGATACCGAATGCACAACCGTCAACCGATATGTTTGTCAATCAGGTTTGATCTCATTTTACTGGCCGCGCCATGTTTTTATCTGATATTTTTCAATACATACATAACAGCTCTTTAATACTGTTTGTCACATTAATGTTCATCTAAAACCCACACCATAATAGCGCATGTAAGCCACACACATTGAAACAAAACATATTTTTATTGAATCTTGATATTTTTTAGTCTCTTTCAGTCACACCGAAAAGTGACATAATCTTGTGAAAACCCAAAACATGTTCGAGTCAACAAACAGTTGTTCTCCTAAGTATGATAACAGTGTCTTAAACGTAAAGTTACATTTTCTTGCATTTTACAAATTAAAACCATGTACTGGTTTTCTAACAATTCCGATTCTTAGCAATTGGAATAATAATATTTATTAATATTTTAAATTGAACGTGTCATACACTTTTCTTGCAGAGGGGTTTAATTGATGTCACTGTTATATGTGCTTCAGTTTAAGATATGTGACCAATCGTCTGTTTCAGATAAAACATTCTTCAACAAGGAGCTTCAAATTATATCAAGTCCTTCAAAAACATTTTCTGAGTCTCAGCAAGCCTGTAAAAATAACGGATCTACACTTGTAGAGATAAAAACAGATACTTTCAATTCTTTTATTGACAACAAATTAAGGTTTGAGCAAAACTACTGGTGTTGCATTGACATTCATGCTATTTTTTATTTGGACGTCTAGCTAGACTACGCATATAACGAAAATATCCGAGAGCAAATAGTTCACGGTTTTGTTAGACACGAAATGAACTTATGAATCGGTTTGTTATTATTATTATGTTGTTGTTTTATTATTGTTGTTGGTATTTTTATTCTCATTGTTATGAAAAATATCTTTTCTCTTCAATTACTGAATCAATTACTTTACAATAAGAGAAAATACTTTGAAATTCGTTATGGATATTAATTGATAGTAAATTCGCTTTTCTACTTATCAGTGGCAGCATTAATTTCTGGACGAGCGGAAATGATTTAAAAAAGGACGGAGATTGGAAATGGGGAGATGAAACACCTATAGATAGCAATGACAACAATTGGTAAATTTATTTTGTTTACTATAACATTCACAATTACAGAAAATAGAAAATAGGATAAATTAAGAATGAAATCTCGAATTGCCAATTCAGACCAAAACTGCTAGAGGTCGGATAACATTGGTTTTCAAGAGTCCATAGGGTATAAAAGTGTTTCAAGATACGAAAATTGATATGAATGATACAGAAAAATGCTTCAAAAACAATGTAAATGTTTCGAATCCTAAAACCACACCCCTAGGTACGCTCCTGAATAGGCATAAATAGCAGAATCTAACAAATTAAACGCTTCTATTGGTACCTATAAATTATTAGCCGTGAAAAAGTATTTTCAGTCTGTAATGTGCTTTGTAGCATCAGAATAGGAAGCGCAGTATTGACAAAAGTACTTTTTAGTCGCCATACTTATTCTGCATATAAATTTTCTTTGGTGTCAGGAAGAAATGGTCAGGACGAAATGAGCCAAATGGAGATAAAAGAGAAAACTGTTTGATGAAATATGCCGAATTTGGTTTCGAATGGGTTGATGTTGCATGTAGTGACAGGGCTGGATATATTTGTCAGTGGGGTGAGTAATCTTACAAGTATGGATGGTGTTGTAAACAATGATGAATTAAATTTTGGATATTTTTTTGTTACGTTAACTCTGTAAAGGGTTTAATTAGGAGGAAAGTCACAGGGAGTGCAGTGGCTTATTTGTATCCAGTCTATACAACATTTTTTAAAATCTTAGTTTAGCAATAATATTAACAACTCTATCATGAAGAAATAGCCAACTTTGAATATGGATAATCACAGTTATTTTAGACAGTTTTAACTATAAGATAAAAACCATTGGAAAGTTTAACAACCGTTTGCAAACTCTTCCAAGACATGTCCCCCCAACAGACTATTCCATTTGTTAAAGCCATCCCTGCAAGGATGTCATTCAAGCTTTATGCAAAATATTATTAGGTTAGGTTTTCTGCTATGTTTTTAAAACGGATGTTTTCGAAGTCGAAAACGGAAATTCTTGCGCGACTGAAACTGTCGCCTCGAGTACACCAATCTTTAAAAGAGCCGACTTTTTCAGCGAATAGCGGTTTTCGTGCCGCGTAAAAAATTCAACCCATAACAAATACGAGCATTTAGAACGTCTTGTCATGATAATTTAATTGTGCTCAACGTTACCTGTAGTTAAGTCCAGTGGTGGGATTCAATTTTTTTGTCAGGCGGTTCCATCACAAAATGCATATTTTTCGGCCTGTTCTGTTATATGTTTTTTTAGTAATGCTAACCGGTTCGCTGATCTCATAAAATTCCGCGAGACGGGTATATAGAACCGGTGCGAACCGGCTGAATCCCACCACTGGTTAATTCGACATAAAACAAAATGAAAGCATTAATACTCCATAATACTACGCCAAATATGCGTTCATAAAAGTACGTGGTAGTTTGCCCGATTATAAATAGATTCGATTCGTATTTTCGCGATCTTACCATTTAGATTATTTTTAAGATATCGCTATTACATGAATCCCAAAGTTTACAATAGAATTCCAAATAGTACGATTTAATTTAGTATGATAAAAAATTGGTTGGTTTATATATTTCATTTGCTTCATTAGCTACATCGCATTGTTGAGAATGGCGAATAAATGCGGCATTATAACATAGTTTTTCTCAATATTGAAATTAACTTTATGCAAATTTCAGTATCAATGTTTAACCATTTTTGCGAAGCATCCGAGTACTAATTAAAATTAACAAAGCTACGCAACATACAGAATACACACACCAAAAAATGTAATATGTTTTTTGAATAGGCTGAACGTATTGAGGTTGCAGAAGCACCTCAAATTCCAAAAATTTAGCGCCTTCAAATCTTTTAATTGTCTAGATAAACCACCTGGTGATTGCGGTAGAGATGTCTGTTTAGACAAGGGAACGTGCAACTTCAATGGAAAACGATACATATGCACCTGTGATGCAGGATATTTTGGAACAAAATGCGAGAAAGGCAATTTTCAATATAAATTATCATAGTGATGTATAAAAGTATACTGAATGCTGTAAGAATTAGCTTTTCCGTTTTTCAAAAATCCAACGTTAAACTAAACAAACTTAGAAAAAAAGGAAATCTGGTATGAATTTTATTGAAAAGTTTCGCCACTTCCGTGATTGGTGTTAAATTTTATTTGCTTTGTGGAATTAATTAGTCTTTAAGAAAATTTTAATTTGATAACATGGTTATTTTCAAATCTTACAATTAGCGAAAAAAAATGAATGATATTTAAAGGTATGTCTCAACTTATTAAACAGTCAATTTGATTTATTAAATACGTTCAGACTTTAAATACTATATATACTATAAACCTATATTTTTCAAAACAACTTATTACAAAACTTATAACATAATTCTTAGAAATCAAAAATGTTGAGTAGTCTGTTTTATTGTCATTCAGATCTTATATCGATTTCAACTTCAACTACTCAATACATTAGAAAGAGAGGACAAAGTCTTAAAGCCGAATTCGACATCACATCTTATGATGGCAACATTAAAATTACAGTCTCAACCACTGACAATCTTTCAGTCACATCAAATTCTACAACAGCAATCACAAGCAATACTGTTTCATCCACTCTTGCTTTCACTATCAATCCATATGAAGAAACTAAAAACGAGCTCACTTATACATTTACCGCTGCTCCGATTTCAACTACCAGCCCGACTTATTCTAGGGCGGCGACAGTAGATGTAAGAATTACAGGTTCGTTAATGTATTTAACATAAACATTGTAATAATAAATCGTAGACCATAGAGAAGTCTTTAGACCTAAAATTCACAGTCCACATTAGCTGATTTAAACTTCTAAAACAAGCTTGTACTGAAATCTTTTGCTGAACTCTCTTGATCTGTAAAGTTTGCTTGTGTTTTAAAAGTTCAATTGAGCATATTAGTTAACTCAACCCCTTTGTACCCTAGCACAGAGCAAAGGGCTGCAAGAGCGATATTGCTATTCTCCCTACAATGGTGGGTTTTTGAAAAAAATTTTCAAAAGAATTTTCAATCAAAGTCAGTCGTACTGAACAGAATAGCAACATCAACTACTTGTCTATTTCCGTGAATATTACTTTACCTGGCCTATCCAACGGAAAAAGACTGACTATCTGAATCCAAACCAGACATGAGTTATTGATCGTGAACGTCGCACAGTTGTAAACACAGCTGGATTTTCAGTACGATATATGATGTCTTATGTTTTCTGTAATTTATGCCAAATACACTATTTATGTACCATTATAACCGTTATTTTGGTCTCTTTATGTTAGTTCATTCAAGAGAGTGATAACTGGCTTTGTTTCTATTGCAGTGGGCCAAAAATAAAAATTTGATAAAAAATATTTAAAGCAAATTTTTTTTATTCTTCATTACTATAATATACAAATAAGGGATAGAAACGATTTGTTTACTTTTCTAAAATGCGTCATATCTGCCTTTAAAACGAGTCTTTAGTGACGTTTTGACACTTTACTGACCATGGTGTTATTCTTCAAAAGAAAATAAACCTAAATCCTGTCTAAATTTCGGGCAAACACGGTAAGAAGTACTGTACAGTGTACAAAACTACTATGCGTAAATAAGCGACATGGTCATTCTTTGTGTAGCAAATTTTTGTTCCTTTGAGAAGAGCGTACAAAAGAAACTTTCACAGATTAGAATTCAAAATCAATTTAATTTTTTTGTTTTTTTAAAGATTTACGTATTCGAGTCGCCACCGATCCTAATAACCAATATGATTAATCAATATTTCTACGAATCTTTTCACGACCCACTAACATTCCTTGTGCGACCCACCAGTGGGTCGCCACCCATAGTTTAGGAACCGCTGATCTAGACTCTAGAGTCAAATCTTGACCTAGGTCAAGTTGCCTACCACATTATAGGGGCCCCGACCGATAGACTCAAGTAATCAATGACTGTACAGCTTTCTATATTTGTATATTTATATGGAAATACTTCTGTGATTGTCTGTAAATAACATCAACAGTAACTGTAACAGCTTTTATGCCAGTACACATTTGTACAAATATATTTTAAGATGCCTGCGATTTATCACCTTGTCAAAATGGGGCCACCTGTCAATATTCGACCGTAGAGCCATATTACAATTGCACTTGTCGGCCAGAATACAATGAAAATACCTGTGAAGGTAAAGATATATATTTTTTATATAATGAATTATATATATATATAAATCGTTTGAATGACGATTAATATCATACTATAACGAGTTCAAATTTATAGTGAAGATACCGATAACAGAATTCTAATTTTTAGATTCAAAGAATTGCATGACAGAAATCTTCACAGAAATATATTGAAGGATTTTTTTTCATGTCGTGTTTTGGTACCTGTACTTATTTAAATAGTTAAAACCCTTCTACAACGGAACGCCCATATGGGTGTACTTTTTTATAGTTTTTAAATTTCGGTACTTATAGGGTCAATATCGCTCTTAGCTGTTTATCGACGTAATGCCCTGATATGAGAGAAGCGATAAAACCTTCCAGCCGTGACGCAAAGTGCGAATCGTATAAATATCCTGGATTTCAAAATCACCTGTCAGACGTCTAAAAAATGTGACTCAGCTCAGACAGGAAATACTCCTTTATAACGACTTATTATTGTTTTAGCATGCATTTTCAGTCATACTAACTATCCCTGGCGCTGTGTTGTTTTGATAAATATGATTTCGAATGCTCCATAGTTGGCAGAGGTATGGAGATTTTTTGTATATAAAAAAACGTAAAATTAATGGTAATTTTAACGCGTAAATGCGCGTATGAGATTGTTTGCGCCGTTCTACGCGCATTTCCGTCGAAAAAATTTAATTTTTTTGCATTGGGGGTGATCTGTGCAGTAATAATAAGAGCTGTGACGTCATCAGTATCGGTAATTTGACCTTGAACTTGACAATACTGTAAATACAATTGTGAATTTCAGAGTGATAACCATTTATGCTATAATAGTCGTTTTGGTATTGTTATGTTAGGAAAAACTTGACGGAAACGTTGAAGAAAAAATTAATTAATTAGGAATTAATTATTAACCCTCTACTGTACACAGAATATCTCAAAGTCCAATTTTTTTTTTAGAAATTTTTGAAATTTTTTGCCAAAAAATTTTTTCGAGGGGTGTGTTTTAAAGATATATTGCTGAATAGAACTCTAGCAGACGCTTCTAAAAACCCATGAGTAAAGCTTTAGGGCTTAATGGTTGACATAAAAAAATAAGTTTAAAAATACCCATAAAATGGGCAGGGCTTGAGGCTTAAAAAGAGTTAAATTGACTCAATTCTGAGTAATTGCAATCTTGATATTTCTCTGTTACATCAGTTAAACATTCATATAAAATAATAGGAAACATTAGCAAAGTGTAATTCAAATGCTTATTTACTTTTTGTCAGAACTAAAGTACACGTTAAATGGAAACTGCAAATACCATGTCAACTTATTCAAAAGAAAAACATTCAGTGAATCAAATGCAACTTGCCATAGTCTTGGAGGAACAATTGCGATGATGAAAACAGACGCAATACAAGATTTTGTTGAAAGTCAAATAATAAATCAATATGGTGAAGGAGGCACAATTGAATTTTGGATTGGAGCCTATAAACCAAATACCAATTGGTTATGGGTTGATGGTACGCCTATTACTAACGGGAAAGGGAAGTGGGCTTGGACTGTAACAAAACAAGGAAATGGGTCTTTGTTTATGAGCTCTTACATGACAACGAGGGATAAAATGAAATGGTTTAACGATGACGGCTCTTCAAACCGTGGATATGTTTGCGAGGTTTCAAGTAAGTTTTAGTTTACTACTGTCAGAGCTTTATTTTTTAATTAGTGCTTTTTAGTGTCTCCTCCCAAAATTAATCTGTATACTTGTTTTTAAGATTCTCCTTTATTTTTAAACTGCGTTCTTTTATTGTCTTATATTTATCTACAGGATAAACTCGACATAAATTTCAATGTTATGAACAGATGTATGCTTGTATATTAGCGTAAAGTACTAACGTTATGCACAATATGGCGGTTTGTCGTTTTCCGCTAAATTCAGTGTTTGCATATGATTGCTTGGTTGATACCAAATTTTCAATCTGTCGCAAAGACATGTTCTTATTCCTCGCAATTCTTAATCTCTCCTAAGCAAAAGTGTCAATTTCAAATTCATATATAGACTACCTTTAAATATCTAAGGGTTCTACTTTGGCGAGGAGTCCACCGCCCTTTAGCGTGAGATCTACCTCCTAGTAGCACTTTAGCATGATGTATAACGCTGTATTATAATACCTCAAGGCTTACGCGATATACCTAAGGTTGCACCTGGGTAGGATGTATATCGCGGTAGACTTCACGCTAAAGTAGCACATATTTAAGTCCTTACTAACGAATATATAGGAAAATTCGTCGATATAAAATTTATGCTGTCACTAAATCAATATTTGGATTAGAAACTTTGTAAAATTGTCTATTATGAGTGCATGAACTAGATGAATGTTTGGAACTTGAAATGCTGAAATGTCGCAAAATAATGACCCACATGTATATTCGTGCATTGACGCTGCTTACTGTATTTTTTAAACTCATGCCATATACCAAGTAACCAAATACGAAACCTTGCTCATAAAGTAAATTTTTTTGTGATATTTCCTAATTTCAGGAAGAATCTTTCCCTCTCGCGTGAATATAAAAATGAATTGGACTGTAAATCCAAAGTTGGATTTTAAATAGTTTCTGTAGTTTGTTGATTTTTTGTTCTGCATGCGTACTCTGCGCAAAACTTTAACTTATCCAGTGTTACAATAATTTCAACGTTGTGTTGCCGGCCCTCAAATATAGTTTACTTTCTCGTGTCACCCGTTCGCCGACGTAGAAAGGTTGGGATCTGCTGTTCAGTACCAACTCACACACATTTTTACACATAGTCAACTAGATGTGTCTCTTCAATTCTCTTTCTACTCATGCACATGGTTTAAACTTGAAGTAACTCGCTTTTACCTTCGTCGTCATTTTTGATTGCGAGTCGGTCGACAACATGGCTGGAGCATTCATCATATTTCTACTAACAGGAAAGCTGAAACACTACGTTGGGATAATGCAAAAAAGTAGTAATTTTCTCGATAGAGCCATATAAATTTTTATTATTTTCAGCCGTTGACTTGTGCTCTCCATCTCCATGTCTTTATTGGGGAACCTGCTTAAGTATTGGGTGTCAAAGGAGTTGCAAATGTTTGGATGGTTTTACAGGAAATAATTGCGAGACAAGTAAGTTTGTTCAAAGCAGTTTCAAATTGTATGTCTTGCATATGACATAATTTTTTTTGTGTTTTGATAATATAATCCAGAATAGTTGGTAGTTTTGCTAAAAAACTTACAAAAATTTCTCAGATGTATATTGTGTTACTTCACAAATTTGAAATTGCCTATTAAACTATCTTCTTCTGAGATAATTTCGTTTTCCTATTTTTTTTTTACATTTGTTTGTATAATTTACTTTACTGGCGTGAAAATTTTATCCTTCAAAACTAAAATGTTCCACTTATATTCTTTTATGCAAATTATGAATAACATATAATTGAATTGCAGCTCCAATTTCAATCTCTTCTACAAAACGAAATTACACTGCGAACATCGGGGAATCTATCACAGTAACGCTGAATATTCAAAGCAATCACGGTCTGGTGAGAATACAAGCCTTCAGAAATGTAAACTTCAACAATGTGATTTTGACCAAACGAAATGTTGGAACAAGTGATGAAATCAAGCTTGGCCCTTTTACGAATCCCAGCGAAAGAACCATATATACTTTCCGCGCGGACCCAGAGTCCAACCTTGGTGCCTATTTCATATCAACATCGATAACTGTCGTTATTGAAGGTATGCTTAAAATAAGTTTCAAAATACCAGTATTTGTGTGTTCTTATTGAAATGAAAAGTAATTAACGCCAGATTTAATCTCCAATTGCAATATTTCAATCTTCCACTTCGGAAAATAATATATTTTTTTTAATTCAAATTCAGCTGGAGCTACAATAAGTCAGCTACAACCAACAGATATCTTCATTGGAACAAGCCCAAATTCTATCAGATGTTACGCAACCGGCGTACCATCACCAACTATTCGTTGGTACAAAGATTCAATACTTATCACCACAAGTTCTTCATCCAATGTATATCAGCGGATAGATAAAACTTATGCTGAATTCAATGCTCAGAAAGCAAATATTTCCGATGCCGGTAAATACACCTGCGTTGCAACCAATACGATACAAGGAATTAAAAAGTCAGCAAATTCTACAGCAGTCGTTAGAGGTTAGAAGTTTTACCCGTCGCTTTACATATTTTCAATATATAAACTTATTACCATCTACTTACATTTTTATAATCATATCGAAATTACTTGTGAACCTCAAGGACCAATGAATTATCATTTATTATTACTCAAAAGAATCTTCACAAAAATTTTCAAAATTTATTCAATAAAAAGTAATTTTTTATTGTTTTCAGCAAAAGTTACTCTCGTCAACTCATCAGTAACAATGCCGAACATCACCTCAGAATCTCTTCAACTAATGTGCACGTTCGAAGGGTTTCCGACTCCCAAAATAGAATGGAAATTCAAAAGAGAGGGAAATTATCAGAAGATTTTTCCAAATCATTCCGGATCAGTGTTCAGATATCAGAATCAGGCTGAACCTGCAAATCATCCGATCAAAAACTCGAGTCAATTATATATTTCATTATCTGAATATTTGGGGACAATTGAAGTTGTCTGCTCTGCATGGAATGATTTCGAAAACTCGTCAAATGAAAAGACTTTTCAAATGAACCAAAGTATGTAAAATAAAAATATGATATCTTAGTATGTTTGTTTTAGTAAAGTACATTAAGCCTTATATGAGTCCGAAATTCTAAATAAATTTTCAAACAGGCGTTGAGGTTTTTCTCATTCATCATCGCCTTGTATTACAATATTATAATGGCCTTTTATTTATATGATAGTGGAAGTAGTAGGAAGTCCAACTTTTTTCATAAGAGAATATAGCAAAAATTTATTATCACACCCATTCGTCGAAATGTTTTCTGTAATATAACATTTGAGACATTGCGATGCCTTGTCTAGTTTTATTTTTATAGAATTGAAAAAGAATCGGGTAGTCTTAATTTTATCCAAAAGGCCATTACAAAATATGCATATTACTAGCATGGATATTATTAAAGAATAATATTTTGAATGTACAGACTGTCCATAAAGTCCCTTCAAACTTTTAAATTTGTTATGAATTCAGTTCTCAACTTATCTCGACCAGGTTTGTTGTATCTATTTTAACCAGTAATTGATTAGGTATTTTTCTTCATTTAAAAAAATTCAAGACTTCATTGACACCCTGTATATTTTCAGATGTTGTGACATCTGTTGGGAAGTTGTATAAATTATTCGGAAAAGTAGAAAAAGAAAAAAGAAATATGTCTGACGCTGAACATTTCTGTTATTCTGCTGGGAGTCGTTTGGCTAAAATATCCAACAGCGAAACTCAAGCATCACTGAAATCGATGATTATTCAAACCGGATTTTCATCAAACGGTAAACATTAATACTTTGAAATATTCCAATAGTCCAGTGGATAAGAGGTAATATCATGCATTTTTGGAAGCAAGCATGAAACTTGGCACACATGTACAGTAGCATACCCTGATCAATTTTGGATATGGTGCCATCCGAGAAAATACCTCATTGCCATGGAAACGAGGCATCATCCGTATTGCTATTTAATTAATGTGAAATGAACATTACTTTATAAAAGGATATTTTCAAGACAAGTGAACCGATGTGTATACAGAAAGTGAAGAATATGATCCGAAGTGCATTTTGACAATTTCCCTTGATAACAGAATACCTGGTCACCATGGAAACGAGGTATCATTATCGACCAAACGCGATTATTTGTCGCACAACCTGTATTTTGTGTTATTGCCATTAATCACAAATTAATTAAGCTACATTCACTTTCAAAATGTAATTCCTTTTGTGTTCAATCAACTGACATCGCCAATGGTATACTTTTAAACTCATAGCCCCGTAAAGCTGGTGGAAATATAAAATATATACCTCATAGCTGACGGATTATCATATCGGAGCTATCATATCGTCATCATATATTTGAATAAAGATAAATTCATTCTCTTAACTCTGTCATTAGTATCACAGTCAGATAAAAACGAAAAACTTGCATTACATTTCAGCTCAAACTCGGCTGGAATCGTTGATTATTCTAATCTATATCTAACGTCGCCTTATGTAAGTGCTACAAAACGAAATAAATAAAAAAACAATTGAAATAATTATATTTTCCCAAAATATATTTCACAAAGACTCCCCAATAACTAGTGGGGCAATTTTACTATTTAGATATATACTCCTGCACTTTTGGATGCAAGCATGAAACTTGGCACACATGTACAGTAGCATCCCCCGATCAATTTTGCAATGTGAGTCGTTATTTTTGCAATCCCCATCACAGAAACATAATGGTGTACATGCTAAATCAGTACGGAAACATTTGCAGCGAGCAGCACAACCTTTCTTGAAGCCACAATGAATCAGCTCTGTGCAAATTTTTGCTGCTTCGGGGATAGTCATCCATCTTGGTAAAAATTTGTCTCCTACTTTTTCCCATCCCCATCTCTGTGCATCAGGTAAATTTTGTGAAACCCTCTGTTGCTTTGCTCCAAATAAACACACCTTGAAAGATTGTCATGACAATAAGAGGGCTTGGACAACGTGGGAAAACCTTCCAGATCTGACCAAAACGCCGTTAAGCCTACTGAAGTTAGAGGGGACAAGCGAAGTGCCTGCACAATGCATACAAATGATTGAAAGATTCATCGTTCTGCTCTACGATCGGACAAGTATGTTGTCAAAGGTATGTACAGTTGAACTTAGCAATTACCCAGATGTTAGATAGATGTTAAAATACGGTTGAATCCTAGTTGATGACTAGAATCGACAACATTTCGACCTTTATCTATCGACATGTGTCAGCTAGGTAAGCCAAAAAATAATAAAAAGACTCGTTGGATATTGAACAAACTTCAGAAGCAGAAGCTTTCCTCTCGGATAATTATTTTATTTCCCTTCAGGTTAATGAGCTACGACATCATCTGTTTACAAAGAAAGGGAAAATGCCAGAGAACATCCCCCCTACATCAAATTCTCTGCTGCAACACATACGTAGAGCAATCTTCCAATGTGTGTTTATTTGGAGCAAAGCAACAGAGGTTTCACAAAATTTACCTGATGCACAGAGATGGGGATGGGAAAAAGTAGGAGACAAATTTTTACCAAGATGGATTACTATCCCCGAAGCAGCAAAAATTTGCACAGAGCTGATTCAATGTGGCTGCAAGAAAGGTTGTGGTGCTCGCTGCAAATGTTTTCGTGCTGATTTAGCATGTACACCACTATGTTTCTGTGATTGGGATTGCGGAAATAACGACTGACATTGCAAAATTGACCGGGGGATGCTACTGTACATGTGTGCCAAGTTTCATGCTTGCATCCAAAAGTGCAGGAGTATATATCTAAATAGTAAAATTGCCTCCACTAGTTATTGGGGAGTCTTTTTGGAATATATTTTTGGAAAGTATAATTCCTTCAATCGTTTTTCTATTTATTTCTTTTTGTAGCACTTACATAAGGCGACGTTAGATATAGATTAGAATGATCAACGATTCCAGCCAGGTTTGAGCTGAAATGTAATGGAAGTTTCCCGTTTTTATATGACTGAGTTACTAATGCCAAGGAGAATGAATTTATTTTTATTAAAATATGTTGTCAATATGATAGCTCCAAGATAACAGTAATCCGTCAGTTATGAGATATATATTTTATATTTTCACCAACTTTACGTGGCTATGAATTTGAAAGTATACCATTGGCGATGGCAGTTGATTGAGCACAAACGGAATTACATTTTGAAAGTGAATGTAGCTTAATTTGTGATCCATGACAATAACAGAAAATACAGGTTGTGCGACTTATAATTGTGTTTGATCATTGACGATACCTCGTTTCCATGGTAACAGGTATTCTGTTATCAAGGGAAATGGTCAAAATGCACTTCTGATCATATTCTTCACTTCTTATATACACATCGGTTTACTTATCTTAAAAATATCCTTTCCTAAAGTAATGTTTTTTTCCCTTTAATAGCAATACGGATGATGCCTCGTTTCCATGGCAACGAGGTATTTTCATGGATGGCATCATATCCAAAATTAATCAGAATATGCTACTGTACATGGGTGCCAAGTTTCATGCTTGCTTCCAAAAGTGCACAATTCCATCATATTTGAGGTCTTATCCGCTGGACTACAACAAAATATCTCGTTAGAAGTTTTATATTTTGTGAAATGATATAATACTAATTTTAACAGGTGTGCTCTGCTCAAATATATGGGCGTAATGGTAATCAAGTAATAAAAGTAATAGCCTTCTAGTAGAAGATACAATCTTCAACCACTGAAAATTAAAGATAAATTGGTTCAGTAATTAAAGAGAAAAGCGATTTTTCCATAACGATAAGAAGAAAAATCCCAACAACGAGACCAACAAGAATAACAACAACTACAACATAGTAACAAGATGATCCATAGGTTCACTCCGTGTCCAATAATGCTAATTCAATATATATAGTTCAAAAATGGTCGGTTAATTGCAAAACAAGTCTAAATCCATCTTTTTGAACAACAGTATATATAGGTGCACAAAGGACAATTGAAGGAAATAGTCGAATATGGAGATGGGATGATGACACATTGTTCTACAACGAGACGAAGCATGGAAAGTTAGTAGGATTTAAACTTCCTTTTTGAAAAATTTCACCAAAAACTTTGTATGACGCCATACAAAACATGATCGACGTTTTAGAAAAATAGTCAATGACAAAAATATATATACAAAAGTCGAGTCTAATCAATAAAAATTAAAACAAAGAGTGAGAGATGGAAGCGCTTTTAATCTTCGTAATTTTGCATTATGCTGATAATCAAATTTTAATAAGATTGCAATGACTAGTCCTTTGGTTATATTACGGAATCGGATCAAATGTGGGAAGCACAAATTTTCGAATATTAAATCCTGTTCGATATTTGATACTTACTTACGAATAGAATGATTCAGGATATGCTAATCATACTTGGATCTGTAAATATTTGCTCAGGCTATGGTCGTGTATAAGTATATCAAACACCAACATGCATTTCATTTGTGTCAAATAAAATTGAATCCTTTTCATTTGAAACATTTGACCTTCTGATACCCACTAAGCGCTAAAAATATGGCACGTATTTTTAACTTTTGAGTAAATTGTCTGGTAAAAATGAAGTTATCAAGTTTACAAACAATCACGTAGTTATTAATTGGTGAATAGGTCACATGGCAACTTTTGTCCATCATTAAAAAAAAACTAAATGTTTAGGTGGATCCAGAAAGAAGGATTCGCGGATGGAAGTTATGTTGCTTGGCATAAAGGCAGGCCAGATCATGATGTATCTTGTCTAGTTTTGCGATCGGATTTTCATTGGGAATGGGCTGATGCATATTGTACATCACTTATTGGCTTCATTTGTGAAAGTACAAGTAAGATACAAAAACTGCTTCAGTACAATATTTGAATCATCTATTTCGTATACCTTAAAACTATTTGCATTGTATACACACATCAATCGATGTACAAGATAGGTATGTTTGTCATATATGTGTAATGAGGGCTCAAAACAGATTCAATTCAACTGCATCATTTTATGCATTCGACATATTCAAGTCTGTATGACAAAGTGATTGTTTGAATTCAATACTCTCTAATCAGACTAATATGTCAATGTCAAGAAAATTAAATCTAGCATAACTTGCTTTGAAACAAATTAAAACTATTAATTAAGCATTCATATAAAGGGATCATTGATAAGAAATTCAAGCAACCCAGGTCTATACGAAAATTAGTTTTTATCACGTTTATGATCTCTGCTCGCGAACCCTGAACGCATCAACTCCAAACTTAAAAATTGGCTTTATTGTTTCGTTTTTTTATTGGAAGTCTTGGAAATGTACCGATTGTATTTTGATAATCACTCATTTATTTGCAGTTCCTGAAATTACAAAAAATCTCAGCGCAAATGTAGACGAATGCAGCTCAAATATCACAATCAATTGGATTCCCGCTTCAGAAGCAGTTGGAATTTTACACAGGTTTTTTATTTGTTATAACATAAATTTGGTTTCATAAAATTATAACCTCAACATAAATTTCATAGGCCAGATATTAATAAAGAAAACGTTTTGAGACTCATCCAAATTTACCTTTGTTTCAATATTTCACAGAATTGACGTCATAAAAGAGGATTCAAATGCAACTTTGCAAAACTGGCGAACAGATGTTGTTCCTTCTCATCAAAATTTGATGTCAGTGAAATTAACAAATTTAAATTATTCTACACCGTATCTTATCCGAGTGAGTATTCGAAGAATTGACATTTTCATTTATTATTATCCAAGTTGATCTGTTAAAACATAGCATATTAAGTGCGACTGAAAATACATTTATGGAACTTTTCTATATTTCCTTCATACTTTAACAAAGATTTGTTCCCAGTGTTTTGCACCCTAACATTAGCAATTTTTGAACATCTAACACAACCTAACTTTGAGCAAACTAACCTTTTCAGTCCAACTCAATTAAAAAAGATGTAAGACCGTCAGTCAAGTTTGGTAAATTGACGACAGATTGACACTTCAGGAAAGTTGTTAAAAACTAGTTTTTTCTACTTTTTAATTGTATTGACCAAGTGGATACTAGACAACAATATTGGCTTAACATGCTCAAGTCCAAGCTGTGGAAAATTGATTTTTTCTTTTATGATGAGGCTAAGTAATTCAGTGAAGCTAAGGTATTTGATTGATAGCCTCAATCTCGCATGTGTAACCGAATGGCGGAATATAATTTTGTGAATATAAATTCAATATTGGAATTAAGGTTACTGTGTGTCCAGAAGAGTGCAAATATTCTTTCACTTCGACAATAAAAGTGAAAACACATGCAACAATTCCTGAAAAGATAGAAGAAGCAAACGTAAATAAGGAAAAGGAAAATAAAACATGTTCAATTTCATGGAAAAAGCAAACGGAAGACAAGGGGATCATTAATTTTAAGGTAATAAATTGATTATAAGTTTTAACATGTGATGTAACAAGTATAGTAATTTACAAGATCTTTGATACATTGCGACTTATTGCTCTTGTTTGAAGAAAGTATTTTATTACTTTTAAGATAATTGCACATTCCACACTAGTCTATGCAGCTTCGGAATTCTATTCCAAACAAATGTACCAGACAGTTTACAACGCAACAACTCATTCCACAAAATTGGACGTAGAATACTCTTTCAATAGAAACTATTCATTCACTATTCAAGCAGTAACTTGTGCTGGTGTAGGTCCACCGTTAAATATTATTGGAAATTGCATAACAGAAAGAGGAAGTGAGTATATATATCAGGAAGTAATTGGAAATGCGTCTATCCTGATATGTTAAACACAATAAATAATTTTGTTATATTCAGTACCAGACGAAATTCAAAAGTCAGTTGTGTCAGACCAACCAAACAACGACGGAACTTACAATGTTGAGATCAATTTCCCAGAAGAACAAAATGGACCTATCAGGTTAGTTGAGAACATCAAGTTTACACTAATGATTTTTATTTGCGAAACTCCTTATACTGTAATATTGCTTTCTAACTAAAAGTATAAAACTAAACACACAATTGATGTTAATTTTAGCATTTTCCCTTTTCAAATATTTCGAACTGTTTCTGTTTTATTTATTCTGATACAATTTAAGATAAAATTCTTCTGTGCATCAATGAAGTTGAATTTTTTTTTTATTTTTTGGTAATTTGCCACTCAATTGATACTTTCACTAATCATAACATAAATTTTCAATAAATTTAAGGTTTGCTATCTTTTAGTTGTTTGTTTCTCATTGTTGTGTATGAAGCCAACAATTCAAGTTTAAGACAAATTGAAAATCTCGAAGAATTGAAAGATCTCATGAGAAATTCAGTCAAAGCAAATCAGCCATATATTGCCATTGCTATTTCAGGGTGAGCCGTATGTACAGTTTTTTTAGTTGAGTATATTCAAGTGAACCAAAAACCATATTATTTCAATTAAAATCTAAAGAACGCATTCTTCATTTTGTTTAAAACGTTGATTTAAAATTGACATTTCATTAATCTTTCGAAATATTAAACTAACATATAAGCTAATGCCATGAACATCCGGTTCCACGCGTATTCAATTACTGGTTGTGTTGCCAATACAATCTATAGTATAATATTGTTGCTTAACCTCTGAGTACATTGAGTCTTATAATAAAAAAAAATGAAGGTTATTTTTTATTTAAAAATAAAGGAATAAAATAAATGAAGAAATTGAAAACACTAACAAAATATCGCGACGTTTGGGAGATGAATCATCAACTTCCTGCAACATAAATCTCGCCTCCAATAATACAAGAAACAAGAGAGCTGTGTCAACATCTGATGATGATGTGACAGGTCAAAACCTCAAGCTAAACAATGATGCCGAATACAGGTATTGATGACCTATCAACGTGACGTGAACTGTACGATCGCTCAATTATGAACCTTATTTAACGAAATAATTGACGGATAACAATTGCTTGCATATCAATCGTTTTTTTACACGTCATTCAAAGTATGGTAGATATTTGCAAAATTACAGATATTTTGAAAATAAATGTAGCATCATATTCTTCGAATGCAACTTAGATTACGATTTTTATGTGCCCACTGTATTGGAGAATAGTTCAAAAATAGGCAGAAGCGAGTGCTTCGAATTTTTGAAACATCGCTCTGCGTAAGGTCATGCACGAAAAGAGAGTTTTGTTTATTGCCGTTAAAGAAACCGTTAAGTTAAAGAAATCGATTGAGAAGCCTTCCTTTAATGACGTTGTTTGTAATATTAAAACAGTCTATACTGGAGTGTAAATATGGAAAGTATGATAATGTGTTGCCTTTTTGTGGCTTTCAATATATGCAAATGCAAAAATCTGTTTCAGCTACTACACAGTGTCGACAACACCGGGAGAAGATGGGGTTTTGTTGAAAGCCAGTGAATTGTCGCAATTCACCACTAAGTCTAAAGAACTCGTGCCTACAAGTGAGTTAACGTTACAGTAATTTCAGTTACAAAATTTAAATATGCAATAAATAAAGTTTTATACATAATTCAGTCTTTGCTTTCACTAAGTATTATACTTTAATAATATAAATGTTTGTATTTATCGGGTGCTTTTGTAGTCTGGAGGTGACAAATATCTAGAACTGGAATTGTTTTGAAATTAAATTAATTCTAATAATTCATTACTTTTCTCTATAGATACATTTTGTCAAATTATTTAGTATTGAATATAATATTTTACAGCTAATCCTTTATACATCGTCTTACCTCTGGTTGTTCTGGCTGTGTTGGGTATTTTTGTCGTCATCATGATCATTCGAAGGTATGTGAATATTTTCTAATTTTTTCAACTATAATTCATTTGCTCAATAGGAATGAATTTCGTTTATGTAAAAAATAGCATCGTATAGTTACGTTCGTCGGTTAGGAACAAACTTTTACTGAAGGTAATTAATAATTCGAAAATTCAATATTTAGGAAATCAAAACTACTACTACTGTTTTTTTTTTCTTTTTGAATAGAACACGAATGATTTATTATTTAATATGTAAATGTTATTTTAGGCGACGTGGGGGTGAGAAGAAAACGCCCAATTTGAGCATGCAGGTGTTACATGACGAGGAAGGTAAGTTCATGGGTTTATGCCTGGTCCGGGTGGTCGTATTCGAATTCGAACCCTGAAAAATATTTAGTTCGTATAGAACTACAGTTAAAAAAAAAATATTGGCATCGAGAAAGTAATATGAGATTTTTGTCGTCCTCTTTATATTTGCCGACCGTACATTTACGTCTAAAATATACGATTAATTTCCTGGTTAATTTTCTGTGTTTTGTTCGTTTTCTAAAAGTAAAAGCAGCGATAGTGTATTTAGAAAACTATTTGGTAGTTATTTAGATTAGCAAAAACAATGTACGAAAAAACACGATGTGCAAATCCAACAATTGATTTTTCAGTTATCCGTACTCTCTTACCTTAATTTTTTTTCAATTTTTGCTTAGAGCACGTTTACGCTAATTTATCAATGGATAAACACGAACCAAGGTCAGAAACAGAAATTCAACTTGATCAATTGTTGGAAAATTATAACATGATGATATCTTCAGACAGAGCAAAATTCAGGGAAGAGTTTGAGGTAATTTTCAATTATTGATCAATAATATTTTTCAAATTTCTATTAGCCTTTCGTTAGAACCTATCATGAATATACAATGAATCATTACAATCTTTCATCAAGTTCAAAATTTTTGCTTGTAATATCACGGTGAAAAATAGTGAAATTTGTGTTGTTTGGAAATGTTTAAATGACGACATCATATATGGATGTTCGACGTACTTAATTATAAACTTGTTTATATAACTTACAGGATTTAAAAGAAAAGGCAAAGCGCCTTGATTACGCAACTGAAATCGGAGCCGCTGTTTCACTGAAAAAGAAAAACCGATACAAAAATATTTTACCTTGTGGGTTTCCTTACTTACTCTTTTATTATATGATACAGTATTTTCATTTTCATCGTGTAACCTTTGTTAAATAACAACACATGTGTCTATCTATGTGATCGCATACTTTATAATTTTGAGTTCGTTGAATGTCAGCAAAAAAAATTTTTTTATCCATAAAATCCGTTTTGCTTGTGTAAAAATTGGAAAATTGTTTTGAAGGTGATAACTCACGAGTTGTTCTGAGTGGCGAGGGAGACAGCAATTATATCAATGCTTGCTACATTCATGTAAGTTTTCAAGATTTTTTTCTCCGAGAAATCTATAGGGCCGGGCCGCGTATGAATATATATTGATTGTTTATAAACACTAATTTTATTTATACCGAAATATTTGATATTTTTATGTATGTTTGATATAAATATTTTTGTTGCTCAAGTATCGCATTAACTATTCGTTGTTACTTTTTATACACATTTGGTGAAATCAACTTTGCAATAAATTGGTTAAATATTAAAAATATGTTTATTTGAATTACCCTTGACAGAATTTTCTTATTTTATTTTATAAGACATTTTTTAGGTTTTCGCCTCCAACACGACTCCAGCACCAGCAGCCGATGCTAGAGAGGGAGCTGTTATTTTTTTTTTTGTAACTCACAGTGATGTGGTGAATACCAATAATTGTTCTAAATGATACTAATGTTGCCATCATAACAATAAATTATGTTTAAATAGGGCTTTAGCAAACCGAAGAAATACATTGCTACACAAGGTCCTCTACCAAGTACGATGGATGATTTTTGGAGAATGATTGCAGAACGGAAAGTTACTTGTATTGTTATGCTGACAAAATGCATCGAAAATGGAAAAGTATTTTATTTTTTACTATATATAGGTATATATTCCAATATGACTTTCGTCAATAACGCAAATATCTTAATTGTGTAAAGTGTAAACTTTTAATATAAGTTTTATCAGCAAAAACAAAGTTTAATGACCATTGAAAAGAATGATGGGATAGGGCATTCTGGAATTAATAAAAATGTCTATGCTGGAGGTAAACCTCGATATCATACAAACCGTTAAAATACAATCCGCCTAGAAGACATTTAATTTTGGTATAAAATGTACAGAAAAAGTGCGAAAAATATTGGCCAGATCAAGGAATAGCTAATAAGTACGGAGAAGTTGAAGTTGAAAATTTGGAAGAAGTTACCTATGGGGGATTTAAAGTTCGTAAACTAAAAGTTATATCAAATACACAGGTAATAATTTTATGTGACTTTTCCGTTGATATCACAATATTTTCTCGGTCTATCTACGATTTTCACTATCTTCAAATCCTTATGATCAAGTCGCTTACTTTATTTACCTTTTATTAAGTACTTTACAAGTACATGTTGAAAATATAGCAAATTAACAGGTGATAATTTTTTGTGAATATTACAATTGCCCACTCGTTTGGAATTATGTATAGTCATATCGGCCTGTATCTTTTTCCTCTTATTGATTTATTTTATTGACTACTTTTGTCCCTGAATTATTGCTATGTATATATACACAAACATAGCTTTCTTTCAGAGTCATATATTATTTATTATTTATTTGAGAAATTATTATCATGAAAATTACTTTGCTTTCAAGTAAGGTCTGTTATTCTGCTATATAATGGAATGTTTGACTGTTTCAGCAAATAACAACACACATGTTTCATTTTGTGAATTGGCCTGACCATGGAGCACCAGTCACTACCAGCAATCTAATTAGATTCCACAATTCCGTATCAGCCCATGAAACGAATGCTCCAATTGTTGTGCACTGCAGGTGTGGTGCTAAATGAAATATTCAAATGAATTTACTTTTAAACCTTTGTGCGGTTTATTTTTCAATTCAAAATCTGTACCACAGATGTCTTTACAAAAATATAAACAAACCTGAAAATAACAATTGTTTCGCTAGGATTCGAATCACTTTCGAATGTATGAGATTATAATCATTAGCACGAGACAAAACATTTAACTTTATGTAAAATTCTATATATAAGCTAGCCCCAGAGCTAAGAATTTTTTTGAAAACTTAATTTTTGACAAAATATACTGTAGTCAAAAGAAACAACAAACTTGCACCTGCCTTTTACACAAACATTTTACTTAATGTGGTCGGTCTATTTAAATAACATTAAGTATCGTTCAATATTTAAATTTCAATAACGTTTCATGAAAAGTGCTCGTAACTATGCAATCAATCTTTTTTATTAATGCTAGTGCTGGAGCAGGAAGAACTGGCGCTTTCATTGCCTTCGATATGTTACTAGAAGAATCTAGAGCCCTGAGATCAGTTGATGTTTACAATTGTGTTTTGAAGATGAGAGAGCAAAGGGTGGATATGGTTCAGAGCTGCGTAAGAATTAACCTTCCTGCTTTTTTGACCAGCAGAGAGTTATGTCAAGCATTCAGATATAATTTTGTCTTATGCCCAATGATTTTTGACAACAATTCTTCAGACGATGATAAACTAAGTGTTTAAACGACTATTGGGAAAGAAGAGAGTAACGCCAAAATATATAGACACGAAGGCCTAAACGACGAATAGTCTACCTTACATTTTAGAGTACCTTACCTAATCTAGAAACCTCCGACTTTTGCGTAGCAGGAGAAAGAGAGTTCGCAGAACCTCTACAAATAATTTTTATTAATTTTGAAGAGGGCATCACTCAACCTTTGAAGTGAAAAACGAATCACATAGAGCTCACTAAATGTGTTGAAGTAAATAAAAGTAATCTCCTTTTAGTGAAAAATATTATCTTAACCAGTGAAAATTTCTAGGCAATTGGTCCAGTGATTATTGAGAAAAGCGTAACATTCATGAGAAAATAATGGCAAAACGATCCATATATATACACCTCTCCTCCAAAAATTGTCAACTGTTTCATAACCATAAACGTTGAATACAACATAGAAATGAGTATCACATTTTAATTTAACCCACAAGTCTTACAGTGCTAGTTATCATTAATTTTGTTTTTAGGACCAATACATTCTCGTGCACAAACTTCTCTTGGAAAATTATATGTACGGTGATACTGATATGGGTCCAGATGAAGTGAGCCAATATTTAGAAGGGTGAGATTAAAATTTTAGTTGTGTGATGCTGCTGTGTTCAATATGAGATTAAAATAAAAATATTATGTTATATAGTTCTGGTAATTCAAATAAAATATTTTTTATCGTATTAAAAATAATAAACATTCATCAATATCTTCTTGTAATATGACGATTTTACATCGAATTCAATTTAATAAAAAATTATTCTGAAATTTGTGGAGAGGAAACATTGAATTTGTGGGATTATCCATACATTTGTTTCTTTCATTTAATTGATTTGCAATCATTTCTTATAAAATTTTAATGTTTTTATAATTCAATTCACAGCGACCAGCAAGGGGTCAAACTTCGTAAGCAGTTTGACAACTTGGGAAAGATTGGACCTATAAATCAAACTAAGCATGGAAATACGGGGGATTACAGAGCAATGAATAGAAATCCAGATATTATACCATGTTAGTAAACTGTAGCATATTTCTATTCACTTCAATGTTATGCTAGCTGATTACAAAAAAACGCGACGGTATCTCTAATCTGATTATATTATGCTATAGTATAAATAATTAACAAAGTTACTTAAACAGAGCTATCATGAATAACAAATTCTTGTACTTGCAGACGTTAAGAACAAGGTTGTGATTGTGAGGGGAAGTGATGAAACTGAAACGCCTTATATCAATGCATCTAAGCTTGAAGTGAGTTAAAATTCTATCTACGTTTTTTTTTTAGAAAAACATAGCCAAAACGAAAGATAAACGAAGGCAAAAAAGTTTATTAGTCGCTGATATGAATGATGAAATGATGAACAAGATGAAAATTTGTTCAATTGTAGTTAATATTTGAATGAATATCTCGAGTTATTTCTTGTCGAATAACGAACAAAGATATGTTAACTGAAAACTTTGACAATATGTAACATTCCCTTTAGTCATACGGCGATATCACAAAACTAATTGCTGCACAAGGCCCAATGAAGTCAACCACAAAGTTTTTCTGGAGAGCAGTAATTGACAACAATGTCAACACTATTGTGATGTTAACCAACGATGAAGAAGGGAAAAAGGTATTTGTAACATTTTAGTTATGATAAACTGTCATGGACTCTTTTTAGTGTGTTGTAATAATATTATTTTTCCATTATGTGCTCTGAATGGGACTCGGGAGATGTAAATCGTGCAGCTGTATACAATAGTTACTCACATTTCCTCATGATGTTGGTTTATGATACAAAACAGACATTGCAAGATTTTTTCAAATTGGAACATAAGATTAGATGATAAATAAAAAAATGACACACCGCAAATCAAACTATAATATACATTGGTACAAAACTATAATGTCATGGACTCTGTTTAGTGTTTTGTGATAATCTATTATTTAATCTATAATGGCCTCTGAATGGCCTTTATCAATAAACCACGTGCCCAAACTAAATTTAATCGCAATCTGACCAAATTCCCTGAACAATTTTTCAGCTAAAACATTAAAATTTGGTTTTAGTTGGATTACGGCAGCATCGGGCTGGCCAGATTGAACTACTCCGCGGGCCGGATTTGGCCCGCGGGATGTAGTTTGTTCATGTAAAGGTTGGGTGATAAACAAAAAAATGACAGAGACGATGTTGATATATTAAACTATAATATAAGTCGTTGCAAAAATAAAAAAGACTTTGTGATGCTCTGAAGTAATATAAAGTCGTTTACTTTAGATGGTAAATTACAGATATGTTTTTAAAAAACTAGTAGCTTTCATAGTCCAGCACAATTCAAACTCTGTTTTTAAGAAACAAAGAACGCATCTTAACTACGATAAAGTTTTCAAACTGACAATGCTGAAATCACAGAATCTGAAAAAATTGGCTCTTGAAATAGTTTACGATGTTTTTTTCATCATCATTTGTATGCATCCTTGAATCTATTCCTACTAGAATATTTCTTTATTTTCTAGTAAAGCAAACTGTCCTCATACTAGATGGAATTATTGAAAAAAATATTGCATTTTTCTTTTGAAGTTTGAAGATAATTCAAATTTTTAACATGGTCGCCATTTTTTACTAAAACAACTTGTGAAGCTTAAATTATTAAGATTGTATGAAAAATAAATTATAACTAATAAAATATTATGTGCGTGTGAAAGTATTATAGAGCAATTCTGATGATAATACCGTATATTTCCCACTGAAGGTTACAATAATTTCATGTATAATTAGAAATATTATAACTCTACTGAGTGTAATGGTAAGCGATTGTTGGATTCGAATATGCCGTCACATTTGTAATACAGCGATTGTGCTGGCGTGGGTTCAACAATTTATGTGTATTCAATAACAAAACCTACATTTCCTCCCTCGCCGATAGCTTAGTTTACTTTAGTGTCTTTCAGGGCATATGAAATAAAAAATCAAATTGCAATATCATAGATCTCTCTGTAGTGGCTGCTACCTTGGAATGGGAAAACGGTACTTCATTTACCTGCAGCTTTGAATAGTTAAAATAGCTCGGATTGAATCAATGGTTGGTGATGGATTTTAATAAATATGAAAACGAAATTATGATTTACTTGTGATCGGTGGGATTCAAAATTTCAAGAAAATGGTTCTCTTTTGTATCGATCTCACTAGCTTAACCACAGCTAACCCTTGTTTCGGAAATATTATGTTAAAATCACACACTTTACATAACTTTCAATACGCCAAATAGAGCGATTGTCGTCAGCTGCGGTCGTCCAACGTGTAAAACGAAACAAAAAAACAAGTACGAGTTTGCTGACTGTCACAACGTTCCAAGAATTGGCAAGAACCCGTGCGGATCCCTGCATCACCATTGGGCTGTAACAATATGGCGTCAACAGTATAAATTAAATATATTGAGTTATTGAATATCTTCAATATTTTTGAGACTGTATATTTTTATTCCTAGGAGCAATGTTATCCTTATTGGGAAGATGATCAAATGCTTTCAAAAAGCTTGAATATATCTGTAAAAGCTACGAACACAGAAGGACAAATTATCAGAAGAGAAATACAAGTTTCTGAAGACGAAGCAGTAAAGGTAAAATTTTATTTTAGGTTTGGTTTATTCAGCGTAATGTATTCTGAAAGGTTCATTGGCTGACCATAAAAAGAATATTCAGAAAGACTATTTTGACATTTTGTTATTAGTGGGTGTTGTTTACATTCTAGTACTTATTACTCACTCAACATTTTAGTTCAGTTCATAATAAAAATATAAGCATATATATATTAAAAGTACTGTAATATCGTAGAATACAATATAAATATATACTTATTGGGTCAGCTCTCAGTAATATTTTTATTTCAGACAATAATTCACTACCAATATGTTGGATGGAAATCAAACAAATGTCCTGAATCCACTTCCGATATAATTGAACTCATAGAGAAAATGCAATCGAGCGTAAGAAGAAACAAAGAAGCAACTGCTCTGATTCATTGCAGGTAACATGTCTAAAACTATGAAACAATGTTTTACAAAATCGCATGTTCAGAATTATACAGCATACGAGTAGTCAAACGTGTCTTAGCTGAAAAAAATAACTAAATGTTACGCAATTTTTTTCAATTATCTAAAAATATTTATCGCTTTAGGTAATTTGTGTTTGATATAGTCAATGAAGAAGAAAAGAACGATTACATCACTCAGCTATAACTGATAGTAATCAAGCTTATTGCTACGATATGACCGAATATATTCGAATTCTAAATGCGTACTTGGAATTTCAATACTCAGTCATCTGATAGTAATTAAGATTATTGCTTCTATATTGCTTATCTAAGAAAACGCACATGCAGTCAAGCTCTATAAAAACTAACTGAACGCTTGTATTCACAGCGACGGTGCTGGAAGAACTGGAACATTCTGTGCAATATTTAATTTGCTTGAAAGATTACAATGTGAAAACCGGGTTGACGTGTTTCGGACAGTGAAAGATCTTCGTGACTGCAGACCTGGAATGGTTCAATCTTTGGTGAGTTTAATTGCACTCATGTACTTTATTCAATCCATGTCATTAATCTTAATATTTATTGTAACTGGATGATTCTAAAAAAGAAAACTAGACTCATTGACCTACCCAAAAACGTTTGGTAATGAATCACACTTTTGATAAAAACTATTTGTAACAAAAATGAGTTGGTTGGACGTAATAATTCATGTTGCTGTTTTGTAATTACGTACCTGTCATGTGTGATAATAATTAGCACTAATTGGTATGACTCTACGTATTTTTATTTCAGGATCAATATCGGTTCTGTTTCGTAACTGTCTCAGCTTATTTATCATCGTTCAACCTCTACTCAAATTTTGATGTTAGCAACGGAAAGCAAATTGCACAGGAAGAGAGTTTTTATCAGAACATATAAAAAAAAAACATGAGGTCTGAAACAGAGACCGAGTAATAAATCTTGATGTCCTTAGAACTAATAAAATTTAAAAAATGCAAACTTTTGGATATCTCTATGTTGAACTAACAGCGAAGTTCGCCTTGTTTGTAGATTACTTTTTCCTAACCATGACTTTGAAGCAATTCCTTATGATGATTGAATGATCAAATGTCTATAATGATATTAATGTAATGCAACATTATTTTATTGCTACTGCTCTTATTAACATTTGCACCTTATATTTTGAAATTTCTTGCTCTATTTATTTCACTGTATATACGTATTGTAACCGTATTAATTCCAGCATGTGTCGTGTGAATAATATTTACATACTATAAGACAATTTAATAACTAATGTTCATAGTGACTGAAGGAATTTCTATATTCTATATATTATATCATATGTTATCTCATTTCAATGCCTAACATTCTAAGATTGAAAAAAAATTCTTTTATTTAAAAAATGAAGAGATATTGTGCATGTGTGTGTAAGTTATCGTTTGACATTAATATATGTTTAATTATAAGGAATAATTAGGCAAACAAATTTCGCTTCAGTTATAGCTAAAAATTTATCTTAGTATTTAATGTATGGAGTATATATTAATATGACATTTTGATAATAACATCACGAGTTTACAGTAAGTTAGTTTAGTTTAGTTTTTTTTATTTTCAAAAAGAAAAACAGCTTGTTTTAAAACCCTTTTTTTCCGCTGTTCCAAATAGACTTTTTTTTATCCATTTTATAATATTTAATAACTGGTTAATCAAATGTGCAAGGTCCGCCCCCAATATCTCGCTGGAAAGGTTTGTTTTTGACGCCTCCTACTAACAGTATCCTGAGATTCGACACGCGATTTCTCTCCACCTTATGCCGCATATAAGAGAGAAATTTCAAAAAATTTTGAGAGAACGTTTCACACTCTTATCGTTTCGATGAACACGTGTTACAAAGAAACGAGATTTCAAGCGCTCTGCTCAAAGAGCGTTACGTCACCTTTGCAGAAAAACCAGACTCAGCTTCGCAAGCGAAGCGAAACGCGAAATAATCAATGATATGTAAGAGCATGTTCACGATAGTTGTCTGTAATCTCTGTTTGTTTATTATGTGGGCGCAATTGTTTCCCACTCGTTCAAATGACTTATCTTTGAAGTAATGACCAATACTTTCGTGTATCTCTAAGCTTTGAAATACCTACACAAATAAAATTCACTTAGTAGTAAAATAAAAAATTTACAAAAAAAAATGTTGACGGATCAAGCACGGATCATAGTTGGATGCCTAAAATGATTTTAGTTAGTGCGGGAATACTTCACAAAACATGAACATAAACGTAAAATAGTCCGAAAATAACTAATATTGTCATATTATGACCAAGGATGGTAGTACGAATATATTCGTCATACGGAAAAAAAGAAAACAAGGGCTTGTTTAAAAACAATTTTTTTTTTGTGTCTTTTTTATTGAAATACCATCCCTATCACCGCGAAACTAAGGCAAAAATGTGCGTTTTAGCAACTGCACACACTGTCGGAACAAAATTTTCTAAAATGTAAATTTTTTTTTTTTTGTAACAAGAGTGAGTCAAAGTTAGTTCTTGATGCAGAGCATTAGTTTTCTCATTGAATGTTCGACGATCAAAAAACGATAACAATTTTGATTGTGGAATATCACTCGCTTTGCAGGAAGAACTTGAAGCAGCATCAAAAAGTTGCCTTTTGGCACCCATTTGGCTTTTCATTGTTGGGTAATCTTTCATGCACTGTGGTGTTTTGGTGCAGCCCTGAAAAGCAGGAAAGATACTTTCTTTATATTTATCTAGATATAGGATGGGGTAAAACAGATGGATAGACTATGCCAGTACAAACTTTTTGGCCCATAGAATTTCCTACGCACGTAAATACTGACCTACCGGTACCAGGGTACTGTAAATTATATTATAATTGGATTAAAAGGACGCTGCGCATATCCTAGCTAGAAATAGATAACCTAGAGTTAACATATAGGGTGGACCAGTTTACGGCACCGAGTTAAACCACAGTGGCTCTGTCCTGGTCAGGGGCGGATTAAGCCCCTTTGGTGCCCTAAGCACTGAAGACTTTGGTGCCCCTCATGTATAATTTAATTATAAAAACAATAAACCACATAAGTGTATTATACATTAAACATATTTACAACCAACAGTAAATAAAACAACTTTTACGAACATGTTTAGGTTTTTTAACTGTTATATATAGCCGATATATATATATATATCGGTCGTTTACTGCCAATATGATGTGACGTCAAACACGCAATATCGGGCCGATATATCGGTTGAGCTCTAATCCTGAGAGAGTGTGACAATAAAGATTCATGCCTCCAGTCTCAACGTGAATCGAAATACCAAAGAATACAAGTCACAACTGTAGTTTGAAATTTTACCGGTACCTAGTAGTCTACCTCAGAGTGGTTCAAGGTTGCTAGGTTGAAGGACCGCAAAAACGTTTGAGGAGGTCTCGCGGGCTGCAAGTCGGAGAAAACCCAAAAGTTATCGAAATATCGCGAGTTTATTTACTTTATATTTATTAAACAACGAGAGTTTATCGTTATAATCAGACTATTATTATGTTGCATGGGTGGCGTTCTTTTAAAGAAGATTTATAAAGCTTCAGTCATTTTGAAGTTAGTTCCCGCGAATTACTGTTGTATTTCGCGCATCTCGCTTTTAATGTCGCTTCAAATTATATTCTTTCGTAACAGATATTACTTGAAATCAAAACAGACACTGTGTGATTGGCAAGGAAAAGCGTTTCCGCCGCGTTTTCCTTATGTCACCTTTCTTGCGACACTCATTTTATTACGAACTGTTATATTGAGTAATTTAAAAACTTGCAGCGTGAGCAAGCTTATGGCCAAATACGAACCAAGTCCGTCTTAGTTGTTATTTCGGGATCTAGCTAAAAAAAAACTGGATTGCGCGACGTCGGCTCTGCGTTTCGTCACAACTGTCATGGCCGACGCTTGAAAACAGAGGAGTGTTTTTACTAAAATAAAGGGAAAAAGCGTTAGAAAAAGGGTTTGAATCTCGGGATCCCAACCCCAGTTGGAATAGCTAAAAAAAATCAAAAATGTTTCTCCATTAGATACTACAAATATACGCTAAAATTGTTCTGTAAGCCGCAGGGAATGTATCAGCATGACAGGGTTGGCCAAAACCGAATAGTTCACTATTTCGAATACATTCAAAATTATTTTTTCCGAATATGAAATTTCGAATACTTCGAAAATAAAATCCGTTAATTGAAGCTTATCTAAATGTATGTAGGAATTTCCATACAATAAGCAATGGAATAACTGCTATCTACAAGTTACAACCTAGCTATAGTACCAGGCATTTCATATTTGCAGATTATTGCAGTATATATTTTATATACCATGAGTCATGTCACCAGAATTAAATTAATACGGCAATAGTGGTATCGATGATGGATTTGAATATTTGCGCAACACAAAATCATCCTAGTAAAACGCCCATACTTTCAAATACCAACCATTATCCAAATTATTTGCCAAAAAGCGGGATAAAGTATGAGTTATTTTTCCGACTTGTGACAATTTTTTCGCGAGTACAAAAATATGAATCAAAAATTATTTATATTCGGGAACTTTACCACACATTTGAGGTCCGAAGATCACCGTTGTATGTTGGAGTAGTAATACTTTTATTATTTTATAAATATGAAAATAGGAATCAAAAATTATTTATAATCGGGTAGTTTACCACACATTCCAAGTCCACAGATCGCCGTTGTATTTTGTGAATACGGAAATAGGAATCAAAAATTAATATTAATCGCGAGTTTTCCACACAATTTATGCCCACAGATTGCGGTGATATTGTGCCGAATATAATTAGTTTTTTATTCTTATTTTCGTACTCACGAATAATTGTCACACTTCAGAAAAAGAATTTATATTTTATCCCGCTCTTGGGAACTAATTTGGATAATGGTTGCCATTGGTTTGTATTTAAAAGTATGGACTTTTTACTAGGATGATTTTGTGCTGCGCAAAATATTCGAATCCATGACCGATACCACTATTTAAAATGCCTTACCGTGTTAATTTAATTCTATTATCATAACTCAAATGTTGGTAAATCGGGCAGTTTACCACATATTTTAAGATCACAGATCGCCGTTGCATTTTAGAATTATAATAGTTTAATTATTTTGTAAATACGAATCCGAAATTATAATTGGGCAGTTCACCACGTATTTCATGTCTACAAATACCCGTGGTATTTGGTATTAATACTTTCATTATTTTATCAATATAAAATATGAATTCAATTTTTAATAAAATCGGTCAGTTTACCACACATTTTATGTCCACAGATTGTCGATACAACCATGAGTTACATTGAACAGAATTAAATTAATACGGCATGACATTTCAAATGCTGGTACCAGTCATGGATTGGATTATTTTGCGCAACAAAAAATCATCCTGGTAAAGGATGATACTTTTAACTATCGTTATCAGAAATTATTTACTAATAAACCGACTTGTTTTTCCAACTTGTGACAATTTATTGGATATCGTAACAATGACTGCTATAAATACCGTATTTTCCGGCTAATAAGTCCACATGGCAAATAGGACGATGTCTATTTTTAGCACTCCAAAAAGGGGTTTTTACATTTGGCCTTCAATAAGACGGGTAGAAAAATTGTGTCCCTGCTGTTCAGTTATGCTGATATGCGCTAATAATTTTAAATGTTTAGAACCAGATCATGTTAGTTTGGTAGAATCATACTCACAGAATTAACTATTTTTAACAATTGAGCGGTAAATTTAATTAGTAAAGCCGAAATCATTTTGGACAACCTTTTAACCCGAATGTTGAAATAATTTTGGAATGTGAAGTAATACACTGTGAAGATTTTGGAAGTAATACACTGTACGTCCACGGGTTATTTCACAGCTGTGTTTTCCTGTCGTGTTCTGCTGAATCGGCAAAACGAAAGGGTCACAAATCACTTTATCTTGGTGGCCTAGAAAAGCGACTTATTAGTCGGGAAATACGGTAATTGTCAATTTTTCGACGTAATGGAAATGAATTTGTAAATTAGAAGCCTCGTAGACGAATGTCGGCAATGTCCACCCACGCAAACCTGCAAATGTGTCGCAACACTATGCGACGTACGGTCGCACAGAATATAAACAATCAAAGTGCCGATTCTAATTCATCGTCATTACTAGGCCGCGAGCCGAGGCCATGAAAAATGCCTAGAAAGTGAGTTTCGTAGCGCACATCAGGTAACTACCTGAAAATGATTTTAAAATGTTCCTCA